TCTAGGGGAAGAGCGAAGTTAGTAACAGTAAGTGCAAAGGCCCTGCGAGCGCCATGTGCACAATGAGAGATCGTCCAGGAGGCTGGTGTTGATGGGGCAAAGGGCAATAGGACTTGAAATCGGAGAAGCAAGTCGGGGAGGGGGTCAGTGTCTGAACATGGTAGGCCCTGGAAGAATTCCAGCTTTTCGTCTGCACGAGCTGGGGAACGGCCGAAGGTTTCTGCGCACAGCACGGACCTACGTGCCTCAGCTTTAAGGGAATCGCCGTGGCCGCTGCTGTGAACGCAGAGGAGGGCGCAAGCGTGGGAGCAGGAACCCAAGGAGGCGGGAAACGGTGGGGCTTTCTGAGTGTGCTGGAGCCCACAGAAAGAGCCCACAGATCTGCTGCAGACCGGAAGGGGGAGCGAGAAAGAGCGGACAGAGGCAGACGCCGGGGCTGGCGGCGATGGCGCCGCAGTCGGAGGAAGGGGAAGGCCTGCGAGAGGCGCCCGCGGCCCAGCGCCGGCCTTCGGGTCCCACCTTGCGGGTGATGTTGTGCACGTAGGGGCACGTGTTGCAGGCGAAGCGGTGGCAGCGTTGTCCCTCCTCCACGATCAGCCCGTTCCCGCAGCCGGGGCAGAATAGCAGCATGGTCTCGAACCCCGCAGGCGCCAACCACCGGCAGCTCACACTGCCGCTCAGCGCCGACGCGCGGCCCGCCTCGAGCTTACATTGGTCCTGGCGGCCGCCTCGCCCCGCCCACCAACCAATAGACAGGGCGATTCTGCGCTCCCAGCCCTGCTGCTGGCTGTCTCGCACTTGTCATTGGTCACTGCAGCCGCCCCACCCCTCGGCGCACCAATGGCTGGGCGGCCTCACTGGGACCGGCCGCAGTTCCTGCGCGTGCGCGCTTGGCCTCCCTAGTGCGTACTGGAAGTGCCGGCAGAGACCGGCTGAGAGGTGCTGCCCTGGAGGAGATGGAGGCCGCGGGTGGGTCCGAGGCGCAAGAGGAAGATGAGGACGAAGAAGAGGCGCTGCCGCACTCCGAGGCCATGGACGTGTTCCAGGAGGGTCTGGCTATGGTGGTGCAGGACCCGCTGCTCTGCGATCTGCCGATCCAGGTGTGTGCTGGCGGGGGCCAGCGGGGCGGGAGTCGTTCCCCGGGGGCCGGGCGTCCGGGCGCGCGCAGCCTCTGAAGGTGCTGGTGGGAGGCTGCGGCCCAAGGCTGAGGAAGGCGCCTCTGGGCGTAAACAAGGGTCTTTACCTTGGCCAGGCACACTCGCCTGCGGCGCGAAGTTTAAAGAGGAACCAAAAACCTCATTAGTGAGTGACATTAAATGAAATTTTAATGTAATTGTATTTAGGGGGCTGGGGGGACAGGGTCTTGCTCTGTCGCCCAGGCTGGAGTGCAGTGGCGCGATCTTGGCTCACTGCAGCCTGCACCTCCTGAGCTCAAGCCATCCTCCCACCTCAGCCTCCAGAGTAATTGGGACCACAGATGCGCGCCACCACACCCGGCTAATTTTTAAATTTTTTGTACAGAGGGAGTCCCACTATGTTGCCCAGGCTGGTGTCAAACTCCTGGGCTCAGGCGATTCTCCTACCTCAGCCTCCCAAAAAGCTGGGATTATAGGTGTGAGCCACCCACTCGGCCTGTAATAGCTTTAAAAGTCAAAGGTGATGAAAAAAAAAAAAAAAACCCTACGATAAACGAAAAAACTTAGTTCCATTTGCCTCAAGCGTCAATATGCTTTGGCACGATACTTTTTATTTATTTGAGACTGAGTCTTGATTTGTCGCCAGGCTGGAGTGTAGTGGTGCGATCTTGGGTCACTGCAACCTCCCACTCCCGGGTTCACTACAGGAACGCGGCACAACGCCCGGCTAATTTTTTGTATTTTAGTGGAGACGGGGTTTCACCATGTTGGCCAGGATGGTCTCGATCTCCTGATCTAGTGATCCGCTGGCCTCGGCCTCCCAAGTGCTGGGATTACAGGCGTGAACCACCACACCCGGCCAATTTTAAATGTTTTATATTTTGCTCATCATGGATATTTTAATTGCCTTGTATTTCTTAAATGTTGTATTAAAATATTTGTTATTACCGTTTTTTGTGTACACCTGCCTTACTCAGTCCTGGGCCCTGGCCTGGGTCCTGATGATCAGGGATACTCAGGGTGAACTGACAGGCCCCCACCCACCCCTGGGGACGGATCCTCATGTGCGTTTATTCTCTTGCCTGTTTTTTAACACCTCTTTCCCCCAGAGACTCTGTCCACTTTGGACATTAAAATGTGAGTGGAACATGAGATTGGGGCTCTGATGAATTGGGAAACCCTAACATATATGCAAGTACCCTTCCTTGCCCTTCGTAAAATGGAGCACCACTTTTTGGCCACTGTCAGCTTGTTCTTTGTTGTTGTAAAGACAGCCAGGGTTCCCACTTCTGCCCTTGGTCTTTTCTAGGTTACTTTGGAAGAAGTCAACTCCCAAATAGCCCTAGAATATGGCCAGGCAATGACGGTCCGAGTGTGCAAGATGGATGGAGAAGTAATGCGTAAGTGTGCCCTCCTCCCTTCAGGTTATGTGGTCCAGGCTTTCACAGCAGCAAAATGTAACAGTGCTGGTCAGCCTGCTCCGCAACTCACAGGCCATGCCCAGGGGTACTGGGGCAACCACAAACCTGCCCTGTGCACAGAGCTTCCGGGTTCCTTTCCTGCCATCGGAGGCTATGGCTTTGGGTTCTCACTGTGGATCTTCTCCCATCTGTGTCCGTGGTTGCAGCTGTGGTGGTAGTGCAGAGTGCCACCGTCCTGGACCTGAAGAAGGCCATCCAGAGATACGTGCAGCTCAAGCAGGAGCGTGAAGGGGGCATTCAGCACATCAGCTGGTAAGTGGAACGACAATCCCTTCATTATAGCCCTTCCTGGGGCTAGTGCTGTTCTTGGCACTGTCACCAGGCACCACCTGGAAACAGCTCTCAACTCTGCATGAGTACAGCACCACTGAAGTGATGAGCTCCCCGTCACAAGAGTTCAGACAGTGCAGGTCCTTCTGTGCCTGGGACTCCTGCCTCGGCCATCCCTAACATACTGCTTTCATCGCCATCACCCCATCCAAGCTGCTGGATATCCTCACTTGGGGACCCCGTCGGGCATTTCCAGTGTGTGTGGAAGTGGCCTCCCTAGTTATGGATGGTACACCTGTAGTGGCTACCATCCCCTTCTCACCTGGGTGCTGGCAGCCCTCGCTCTCCTATTGGATCAACTGTCCTGTTCACTGAGTCTCAACACTGTCACCTATTGCATTAGCAAGGTGTGTTTGTCCAAGCCGCCCCATACAGGCCTCTGAGAACAGAGCCTCCGTGCAGCCGCCTCAGAGCCAATTTGCACATTGTACAGAACAGCCCAGGTAGGGAGGACAGCTGCCCCAGGTCCCATAGGGCTGAATGCCTCAAGCCCACGCCATGCACAGCCACTCAGCTCACCATGCTCAGAGCGTGTGGTTTACCTGCGTTCCCCTCTTGCAGGTCTTATGTGTGGAGGACGTACCATCTGACCTCTGCCGGAGAGAAACTCACAGAAGATAAAAAGAAGCTCCGAGAGTAAGTGCCGGCCACATCTTGAGCTGTAGGGGACAGCTGTTCTGTTGACCCCTAGTCCCCCGTGCTCTGCCAGAGGGCTGCGGCTCACTCTCTGGAGGTAACACCCTCCTCCAAGGAGCTTCCTTGGGGCCCTCCCCACTAGGAGAATGGCAGGCAGAGGGCACTGGAGGGGCCTTGCTGCTTCCCACCAGTGGCAGCTTAGGGCTACACAGTGCCGGGAGGGAGAAAATCAGAGTGGGCATGGAAGCGAAAGGCTATGACTATCTGACACTCAGTTCCCTGCCCCAGGGACTTGTGAGTCAGAGTGCTTCTGGGTCTGTGAGAGGATGGCCACTACCACTTCCTGGCCTTCCCAGAGGCCACATGCCTCCCCTCTGTTGTTTCTTCGTGGCCCCCCACAAGCCTAAGGAGGGGAGTCACAGATGTGTCCTTCTGTAGGGCAGGTGCTTTAGGCCTTTCCTTCTTTTTCAGTTATGGCATCCGGAATCGAGATGAGGTTTCCTTCATCAAAAAGCTGAGGCAAAAGTGAGCCTCCAGACAGGACAACTCTCTTGATCACTGGTGGCTGAGCTTTTTCCCAGCAGGATCAGATCCTCGAGTCATTGTGCCTCTTTCACACAAAGGCACCCAACAGGAACTGTCAGCATGAACCTGGGGGCCCTCAGGACTAGGACAGGGTGAGCCAGTGCTCCCTTCTTTCATGTACTTGGCCTGAGACTGACCTCTCCTTGGGTCCAAAGACCCTGGTCACATGGCAGAGCCACAGCCTGGCCCTGTGTATAAAATAAACCTGTGTGCTTCTAAAAGTCAAAAGCCACAGTACCCTGGGTAGCAAAGACTGAGGTTGCCCCATCACAGAGGTGAGTTAAGGGGAGAGAATTGGTACACGTGAGTCCTATAGTCCAAGATGTCACACCACCAAAGCCTTGTGGCCACACCACTCCCCAAACCACACAACTGTGTTACCATCATCTCCACAGCAAGGAGGAAATAAAAGCAGAGTGGCTTTAGGGTCTGCGTCCTGGAGCTCACAGTGGCAGGTGGCAGCGAGCACAGCACGGCTATGTGTGGGCCCTCCAGCGTCAGCCTTTAGGGTTCGCCTGTAGCAGTGCCTTCAGCAGATTCAGTGGACAGGGAGGTAGTGCAGGGTGGAAATTGGAGCTGCTGAGGGTAGGGGCGGGGTGTTTCCCAGCACGTGGGGAGGGTGTGACAGCACATCCCTAGGTCCTTGTCCCAGCGTCGGCTACCAGGCACTCTAAGGAGAAAGAGCAAGGTGCACGTGCCCGGCTGAAGGATTTCACTGGGAAGCAAAAGAGCCTGTTGACTGTATCTGACACTCAGTTCCCTGCCCAGTGAGTTGGCTGCAGGCCCCTCCACAGCTCCCAGCCAGAAACAAAGAAGGAAGGGGAAGCCCTGGTCAAGTTAATGGCAGCTAAAACGCTCCCAGTCCATTTATTGGCCACATGAGGTGGTTGTCAAGAAACAAGTTAGAAGGTTATCACGGGAAGTAGTATAATAAATGCCCAGCAGTACGAGGGGTTCAACAGAAGTGAACAAGGCACAAGAAAGAGGTCTGTGTCCAGGAAACAGGCCAGTCCCCACATGGAGCAGGTGACTCCTGTAAGCCTGTGAGGCTCAGAGTTGTCGTGTCTGGCTCTGGCCTGCTGGAGCGCACGACCCCCGGAGCCCGCAGCCAGCTCAGTGGAGCTGAGCGTCCAGTTCGTACTTCTCGCAGAACTTGTCAGTGAAGGGGATGCAAGTGAGGAACTCGCACCACTCACAGCGGACAGGATAGAAGTAGAAGAGGACCACCAGGCCAGCCAGGAGGCCCAGGAAGACCACCTGAAAGATGATGATCTGGCAGCGTTTCCGGTACAGGTCGAACTTGCCAAAGCTGATATAGGGCAAGAAGGCGAAGGAGAGGAAGAGGCCGCTGATGAACCCTGAGATGTGGGCAAAGTTGTCGATCCAGGGCAGCAGTCCAAAGGTGAAGAGGAAGAGCACCACAGCCAGCAGCTTGAAGAAGGCACGCCAGGGCCGCGCCAGGATCTGCCAGCTCTGGAAGAGCTCCACAAAGAGGCAGGCCAGGATGCCAAACTGGGAGCCAGCCGGACCCACCTGGGGGATGGTTGGGGTAGCTATAAGGCTGTGGGGCTGGGCAGGCCCCCTGGACCCCAGGCCTCATCTTTGTGCCCCACTTCCCATGGCCCAGAGCATATTGGGACCGAGGACCCAACTGGAGATGCTCCCAGACAGTGCTCCATATGGACAGGTTCACAGCAGGCTGCAGGTGCACACGGAGGATCCCCACCCCGAGGGCCAGCCTTACCTCTGCTCGGTACGGCAGGAAGATGGCACTGGCCAGGTTGCCAGTGACACCACTCAGCAGGTAGATGATGGCTATGCGGTGCCAGCCTGCCAGCTTCTCCAGGTCCCGCAGGACGGTCATCTGGAAGCAGATGGACACCAGGCAGTGCAGGATCCTGTAGTCAGTAGCAGGTGGGGGTTGGGAGACATTCAGCAGGGGTGACCTCTCTGCCACCCCCAGCCAGCCAATCCTGGGGACCCTGAGTCCCCCACCCAGCCCACAGTGTCACTTGCCCGGCGTGCAGGAAGAGGGACAGCCACAGGCGGTAGAACTGGTCAGGCACCTCGGGGTTGAGGAAAGGCAGGAGCCCACACACATCATCCATGCAGTGCACCTGTGCGGAGCAGCATATCAGCACTCACAGCAGCTGGGGGAGGGGAAAGACGGACACTCCGGACACCTACCTGAGAGCAGAGCGTGGCCTCCTCATGGAAGTAGCCCCTCATGAAGTCACAGTACTCCCGGGAGGTGATCTCACACCTAGAAAGGCAGGCCGGGGTTCGGAGGCTGCTGCCTTGCCGAGGGGGATTGCTGACATCCAGGGAAAGTTTCAGCCGCACCTACCCACCTTTGTTGGCCCCGAAGAAGTCCAGACCCCCTCTAACCCCACACCCTTGGTATACTGGGCTATTTCAGGGTTTAGTTAGGGAGAAGGCACAGCCCTAGGGCGATGCTCTGAGCCCAGAGACCAGCTGCACTCGGTCACACGCACACCTACCTGCCCTTGGTGCCAATGCAGCAGGGCCGTCCTGTGATGACACAGTCCATATGGGGATGGTTAGTGTGGTTCCCGGCGCTGTTTTTGGTGCAGATCTGGGTCACAAATGGGGATGAGCTGGGTCAGGGCCTCCCCCAACCTTTGGCCCCACACCATGTTTGGGGGTAGAGGCAAAGATGGGCGGGCTCATAAAGTAGAAAATGGTGTGGCTTCCTTGACTTCAAGCCACCACACTCTGAGTCTCTATCAAACTGGAATCATGTCACTTGACCTTTCAAGTCTCCATCTAGTTCTCTTGATCTACTTGCTCAGAGGGGCAGGCGTTGGTTGATGGACAGGCTGTGCAAAGGCCAGGTGCACAGCATCTGAAAACGTGAGGTGGTCCCATGATGGGAATCTCTGGCATCACCAGTGGGTGGGGTGTGGCATTCTCCCCACATGACAAGGAGGATTCCCTAACCACCCCCAACTGCAGCTCACCGGCCACTTGGTGATATCTTCTGGCCACTCATGGGGGTCTTCAGAGGAGGGCTCATCACATACCCTGCACAAGCCAAGTATGTGGTCAGGCCCTGCTTCGAGCCCCTAGCATTGGCACCCTTCCAACTAAGTCCCCAACAAGGGGAGCCCCTACACCCTCTGCACCACGCCCCCCGGGGAAGATGTGGACAAAGGCAGGTGAGAGAGCTGCCGGCGGGACTAACCTGGGATCCTGGTGGCAGACAGAGCCAAACTGTCTCTTGTGGCCGGCAAGCTCTGGGGCGCTGGGATGGATGGGCCACTTCACCCACACTGCCAGCGTGGACTGTGGGAGGGGGACACAGGGTCAGGTCCAGATGGGTCAGGGCAATGAGGGGCACTCAGGGAGTCAGGAGTCAAAACCACTGAGCTCTTCCCTCGGCTTCTACAAGTCACCCCCACTCTTGAGATACACATGTATGTTGGAAAAGACTCTTAGAAAGAGTTCAACAGCATAATTCCTGTTAGCTGAAAATCAGAAACCACCTCTGTCCTAAATCAGGGAACTGGTATGGACTACGGCATCTCCATATAAGATGATGTGATTAAAGTTTGGATGAATCTTTTTCAAAAAATTGCTTAGTGGAAAGGCCGGGCGCGGTGGCTCAAGCCTGTAATCCCAGCACTTTGGGAGGCCGAGATGGGCGGATCACGAGGTCAGGAGATCGAGACCATCCTGGTTAACACGGTGAAACCCCGTCTCTACTAAAAAAATACAAAAAAAACTAGCCGGGCGAGGTGGCGGGCGCCTGTAGTCCCAGCTACTCGGGAGGCTGAGGCAGGAGAATGGCGTGAACCCGGGAGGCGGCTTGTGAGCTGAGATCTGGCCACTGCACTCCGGCCTGGGCGGCAGAGCGAGACTCCGTCTCAAAAAAAAAAAAAAAAATTGCTTAGTGGAAAAGAGGCCAATACCACTTATGTAAGCTTTAAGACACACGCTTGAAGAGTACCCCCAAATCAAAAGACCAAATCAGGTGATGGTCTCTGGAGCCAGGAGCTGGAGATGGGGGAGGGTGGGGATAAGGAGGAATGAATATGACAAGAAAGGCCTTGCACATAGGGACGGCGGGATGTGCCAGGAACGAGGGCGAAGGATCACTCTGCTGAGTCTATCTGAAATCTGAAGGAAAGAGCGACCACGAGGCAGACGAGGGTGGGAGTCCAGGGCGGGAAACGCACCGAGCACTCCTCCTCCGAGGTTTGTACGCAGCCCGACCTGTCGTTGCGCACGCAGCAGGCCGAGTGCTTCTCGCGCTCACGAGCTGAGCGAATGAAGCTGTGCACCTGCGGGTCCTGGCGCATGCAGGGCGAAAACTTGGCGCCCAGGTGGATGAGGGCCTCCTGCGGGCGAGGGAGACAAGCAGCTTCAGTCCGGGCCTCCTGCCCGCCGGGCACCTCCACGTCCCGCCCCCGCCGGCCCCGCCCCAACCCCGCCCTCACCGAGCTGGGCCCGATCCAGAAGTTCTCCTGCTGCACGTACTTGACGTTCTCGTAGACCCCGCGGTTCCGCAGCACCTGGGAGGTTGGGGAGCGGGATCAGACGGCCCGACTCGGGCCCTCTCCTCCCAGAGCGGGGCGGGAGGGGGTCCAGTGCCCAGACTCCACTCGTCTGGGCCCAGCAAAGGCACAGGGGCTCACCGAGTCCACCGTTTCATGCTGCGAGAAGCCCACTGGCGCGATGCCATAGATGCACACGGCTAGAATGGTGACGAGCGAGTGCACGAAGGTAAGCCAGTAGGTGAAGAAGGGCCTGCGGGGTGGAGCGTCAGCAGGGGCCTCATCCCCAACCCGGAGCCGCACCCTCCCCCAGGAGCCTCCATCCCAACCCAGGCCTTGCCTGCCACGCCTACCTGTGGTCGTCCATGTCCTCGATCTGGCGCTTGACAAAGCTGTCGATGCGCTTGCGGTAGGTGCGGTTGGTGAGCCGTCCCACCATGCCCAGCCCATACGGCCGCTTCTCCCGGGCGAAGAGCTTGCGCACCGGCACCGCGATGCGCTGGCCCCGCCGCGGCCCGGCGGTGCTCACCACCTCCTGTCGGAGCCGCACCTTGGGCTGCGGAGCTGCGGCGCCCTCCTTCTGCTTCCGCCAGCCTCGCTCCAGGGGCCTGGAGGGAGCCGGCGTTCATCCCCGCCCCAGCCCCCCAAGCTGCTGCCGTCCCTCCCCGGGGGTACCAGGGCACCCTGTCTCTATCCTGGTGAAGATGCTGGGCAAGTTGCCCAGCATCTGCCTCCTCCTTGCCCCCAACACTGCGCGCCTCCGGGGATGGCAGGGAACCGGAACCCGGGCCCACTGAGTTCTGCAACTCAGCAAGTATCACCTGTCACCTCCGCCTCCCCGTTGGATTCTGTCTAGCCCCTGGGCTCTAAGATTGCTGTCCCATTCACAGGCTAGCCATGAGGCTGGGGCCATGCCCAGCCCTGGGTCTCCCACCCCCGGTGGCCAGTGAGTTCCCAGTCCATCAGTCCATGGGGCTACCCCTTCCATCACCCACAGAGGTGAATGCGATACTCGCTCAGCTGTTCCTGAGGGGCCCCCCGGGTCTGTCTCTGGCCCCCTTCCCTGCCTGGGGCACTCACAGCATCAGATGGCTACGCTCAAGCTCACTGCGGTCCAGGGCCCCGCCGGTGAGGTCCGCTTGCTCCGGTGCCTTCTCCCAGTCCTTTAGTGCTGCCTCCGATGGGGACTCAAAAACTTCGTCTGGGTATGTGGAGAGCTCTTCATGGAGGATACCTTCCTGAGCAAACACATGAGGTCAGGGTGGACGCAGGGAGAAGGGAACAGGGAGGGGGGGTGACGCCCTGGGCGCTTCTTACCCGGGCAAAGAAGGATGTGTCCAGCTCATCGGGGAAATCAGTTGTGTCCTCCTCCAGAAAGCTAGCTGGAGTGAAGCTTCGGCGCTGTGCCCGGCGCAAGGTGCCATCCCTAACAGAGCGGCCCTGGGGAGGGGAAGTGAGCATGAGACCCGGCTGCTGGCTCAGCCCCCACCCCCACCTTTCGCCCCTGCACCCACTTTCATCAGTGCTGCAGCCGCCCGGAAGCTCATCTTGGCCACCGACTCTCGCTTGCGCCGCCGCGGGAGCCGGTGGAAACCGGAGCGGGAGCTGGAGAAGGAGCAGAGGGAGGCAGCACCCGGTGTGACGGGAGTGTGAGGGGCACTCAGGCCTTCTGCAGTGTCATCTGCCACACGGAAGGCCCGACCACGGGCCAGGGGGTCTATGATCTGGAGGAGGGGAGGAGATGCTGGAGTCAGGGCCATGGGGGCTCCTTGCTCACCCAGACACACAGAGGCCTTGCACAGACAGTGTGACTACTGCTCCTGACTCCTCATCGGCCCCTGGACAGCTGTATGGGCACCACTCCCACCCCACAGCACCTAGAGGTCCTGCCTGGAATGCTCCCCCATCCAGACACTGGTCCCCTGGTGCAATCCCAGGACCATGTCCCCATCCCAAGGTACCCCTTCCCAGAGACTGTTTCAGGTGCCTTCACGGGCAGGCTGTCCGACTGCCCTTCAAGACTGTGAACTCCCAAAGAGTCTCTTCTGCTCAGGCTAGCTGTGTCTGCAGCCCCAGCCCCTGGGAGCAGAAGGAGGGGCCTGCAGGAGGCAGCAAGAGGCAGGCATACCTTCTGCATGCCCAGCTGGCATGGCCCCACATAGAGTGGGGGTGGCGTCTCGGTGCTGGTCAGCGACACGTTGTCCTGGCTGGGCAGGTCCAGCTCCCGGAGGACCTGGGGCTTCAGCTTTCCGTAGCGCTGGCTGCAGTGACGGATGCTCTTGCGCTGCCATTTCTGGGTGCTGTCACTGTCCTTGCTCACTCCAAACCAGTCAGCGGTCCCCCTGGCATGGCAGGGACTCAGCAAGGGGCAGCCAGATCGCCCCCTCCCAGGCAGGGGACTTCAAAGGCCCTCCTCTGGGGCGGCATGCCCTGCCCCAGGCCTGCAGTCAATCCAGGGGCCAGGGTCTGGGTGGGCAAGGTCTAATAAGAGGATGAGTGGGTTCCAGCCACCCCCTGAACTGTTAGCCAACTTCAAGTTCCCACTAGACCACAGCTGGCAGGCCCTGCCCAGCTGAGTGCTTCACAGAGGCCCTAACCCCACCATCCCTGAGGGGCAGTTGAGGGGAGACACTGAGTCCAGAGAGGGAGCGGAGAGCTCAACCCAAGAGAGCTTGGCCCCAGGACACCACAGAGCTCAGACAGCAGGTGCTCACAGGCCCAGGCAGGCTGTCCACGGCACTTGGACATGCAAACAAAAACACTGCCAGCACCTGCCGTTAGGAGCCCCAGGGAATGCCAACCACGCTGGCAGCTCCCAAGAGGCCACATGCCAAGCACATGCCAGAAGCACCAACACACTCATGACCTGTATGAGATACCTGAGCAGGGACCGAGAGACAGACTGGCGCTGTGGGAAGGCCCTGCGGGCAGCCCAGGGACCCAAGAGGGGTAGAGTGTGGACACGGCCGAAGTGTACTTGTCGGCTGCTAAGAGGCCAGAGCATCCGGGTGGTGGAGACAGAGAAGGAGAGAGTGAGTGCTGAAGAGAAGGGAGTGGAGCACGGTAGTGGGGTGAGAGCGGTCAGTCTCCAGAACAGGAGGAGGGCAAGGGGGTGTGGGGACCAACATGGAGGAGGAAGCTGAGACAGGAGGGCCCCTTGTTCTCATTCCCATCCTCAGTGTACCTGCCTCTGCCCCGCCAGCCCCCAGCTCCCACCCCGTGGAGCAGTTGGGAAGCGTCGGTACCTGCGGATGGTCTGTGTGATGGACGTCTGGCGCTGCAGCACCGACCGCCGGAGCTCATGGTGGGGCGAAGAGATGTGGGCTGTCTCGGCTGGCATACTCACACTCCTCAGGAAAGCCTGTCGCCTCAGGGGCTGGGCAACAGGGTCATGGTGAGGGTATTGGACAGGGGGCGCCCACAGTCCCTGCTGGCCAGGACCTACCTGCAGAAAGCTGGGCTCTTCTGCTGTCGGGGGCGCCGCAGAGGGAATGTCCAGCTTTAGCCACGGTGGCTTCTTGCGCTGCAGGCTGCTCGTGCTGTCCCTGCGGGCCTCACTCATGGTTCCCGGCAGAGCAAGGCAGGCCTGCAGGGCATGGTGTGTTATTCAATAATGACAACGCTGACAGCTGAAGATTCATTGTGCCCAGACCCAGGAGGGAAAAGCAGTGATAAGCCCAACTGTGGTGCTCATGTCCCCGATTGTCAGAGCCCTACTATGTGCTCAGCACTGACTTGTTCTGTGCCAGCCTTGTTCACTCCAACAGACAGTGCTGGGCACATCCTAGGTCCTCAGACAACATAAGTCCATGGGACAACAATCTGAGCACCCACTGTGATCAGGATACTGCTCTAGGTGCTTGAGGCACATTGGTGGAAAAACGAGACAAAATCCTTGCCCTCCTGGAGCTTATAGACTAGACAATAAACTTTTTAAATAAGTGAATGTGCCGGGCGCGGTGGCTCACGCCTGTAATCCCAGCACTTTGGGAGGCCGAGGCAGGCGGATCACAAGGTCAGGAGATCGAGACCACGGTGAAACCCCGTCTCTACTAAAAAAAAAAAAAAATACAAAAAATTAGCCGGGCGCGGTTGTGGGCGCCTGTAGTCCCAGCTACTCGGGAGGCTGAGGCAGGAGAATGGCGTGAACCCGGGAGGCGGAGCTTGCAGTGAGCCGAGATCGTGCCACTGCACTCCAGCCTGGGCGACAGAGCGAGACTCCGTCTCAAAAAAATAAATAAATAAATAAATAAATAAATAAATAAATAAGTGAATGTACTGGTTAAAAGATGCTAAGCGTGATGGGGGAAAGAAAACAAACTAGGGTTGCTTGACAGGGGGCAGTGAGGCCTCACTGTGGAGTGACATCTGAGCAAAGGTTTGAAGGAGGGGAGTGAGCACAGCTGGGGTCCAGGGGTTTACACACACAAGGAACAGCCAATGTGAGGTCTTACTGACATGGGGCTCACCCTAGTCCGTGCCCAGGGCAAATCTCAGATCTGTCTTACCCAGGCCTCACCCTCTTACCCACCAAAACTTCCACTCCAGAGACAAAGGGCCCACTATGCACATGACAGCCTGTAAGGGGTGTGTGATCGGTCCACTGCATAGAGTCACCACATTCAGGAAAGAGGGTGACAGAGCAGCAGCTGGTGGCCCAGGCTCCAGTGCACAAATGACTTTCCAGAAACCACCTGGGCGCAGACGCCATAGTGACCACCAGGTGGCAGCACGTGCCCAGAAACAGCAGCGAAGCTGCTCGGTGCTGGGGCTGCCGGGCATTGCGTGGTCAGCTCCACCATGAGCATCCCAGGCACCGTGCCAGAGCCCAGGGAAGGCCCCAGAGCAGAAAGACCAGGGTTCGATTCTGGCCACCACTGCCTGGCTGTGTGACTATGGCTCCATTTCCCCCTTACACCTTCCTGGCAGACCTGCAGCTGTCCCCAACCCAGGGGGACCACACAGGGATTCCAGTGGAGACCCAAGTTGAGAAGGGCCCCTGAGCATGACATGAGACAGATAGTAGGGGGTTGGCCAGAGCTTCCTGAAGCAATTTTGGACAGAAAACCCCAAATTCCTCAGCCTCTTTAAGGAGCTGCAGCCTCTGACAGGCTCGGAGCTGCAGGGTCTGCAACCCACCCACTAAGGCCCCAGAAATGGCTTTCACTCACAGGTCTCACTCTCAACTGCTTGAAGGAAAGCCTCACCTATGCTGTACAAATAGGGAAACTGAGGCCAGGAGAACACAGGCTTGCCTTGCTCAAGGTCATATATGGAGGGTAGCACAATTAGAGACAGCCCAGGGTGCTGTTCACAGTTCCTGATGGCCTCATGCCAACCAGGGGCAGGCCTGGGACAGAGCTCACGGCTTCTTCCGACCCTGCACTACCAGGGAAACGCTGGGAATGCTGCTCACAGCTCCTACGGGTCCTACATGGACCAGGACACAGGTGGGAGGGGGTCCTTCAGGGATGCCTTCTATTGGCTCCTATCCTACCCCTCACACTCCAGCCCCTGATCTGAGCTGACTGTGCACTTCAGGTCCCAGGTGAGAGTTGGGGGGCAAAGCTTTGGGGCACTCCCCAGACATGGTGCCCAGGGGTCGTTCCATCCACATGGCCCCCTAAGGCTGAGTTCCTGTCCCTGGCCCATACTTGGCCTGGAATCAGGGGCAAGAGCCAAGGGCGGCAGCTTGCCTCCACATCACTGGGAATCCCTCCAGGGCTCCTCGCCCATGCAGAGCCCCAGAGTGCAACAGGGTCAGACAGGAAGGCATCCTGAGAACTGGGTGGGTCAAGATCCCTCTGGGAACAGCACCAGGAGACCCCTCTGCATCTGACGCATGGCCCAAACCCAGCCCAGACCTGCGTGTCCTGGATACGGCCCAGCCACAGTGTGAAGGGGTCACAGCTCAATTTCCTCATCATCCCCCAGCCCTCTCTCCGCAGAGCATATGGACTGCAGCACCATCACCCTGCTAGTAAGGAATAGTCAGGAGGGGCCACCTCTGAGTCTCAGACACTAGGGGTGGAATTTCAGACAGCGTCAGGCATGTTGGGAAGGCAGGTCGTGCTCGGGAAGGGGCTTCGGGAACCCACAGTGCTGGGACAGCATTCTGAGTACACCCCCAGCATGTTCTCACCCAGAAAACGGAAAACTGCTCTTAGTGAGGCCATTATAGGGGCCAGAGAGGAGCAGGGTGCAGAGTAGAGACTGGGGCCACTGCCATGAATCAGCAGGCTGAATCCAGGGGGCCAGCCTCTCCAGGAGTCTCCACCTGTGCCCAGCGGCACTAGGCGACATCCAGCTGGTTCTTCACTCAGGAGTGTGAATGACTTTTGCCAACAGAGACCTTTGCCAGCTGATGGGCTCACATACATCCATGACTCCCATGGCTCCTGCTCTCCACCGCTCCTCACACCTGACTCCCTCCCATCGCAGAGCCCCGCAAATGCACTCTGCCCAACCTCCCCTGCGTTGCAGGACCTGCAGCCTCAGGCTGCCCCACTCCCCAGAGGTGGTCCTTGGCCTGGATCTCCGGGTACAGCACAGGACAGGAGTTCATTCACATGTGTATGGGCCACTGTCCTGTCACTGCTGGTTCCACAGTGCTCAGGACCAGCCTGGTCTGAAGCCACCAATGGGTAAACTGATCACTGAAGAACACAGGCCATCTGGTCCCTAACCTGGGGTAATGGGGGATTCCTCAAGATGACCCCTCAACTGGCTCTGGGAGGAGAAGCTGTCTGGCATAAGCGGGTGCGAGCAGGAACAGTTAGAGGGTGAGAAGAGCTGAGAGCTGTGAGCGTGTACGGGGAACCTGACCTCCCAGTACTGTCTCAGCCGGGGCCCACAGGCGGCCCCAGGAGGCAGTAGAGTACTCAGCTCATGAGGGAGGCACCGGCCGCCATGCCTGTACATCCAGGTCTCCTGGGGTTCCCCCACCTCCACAAAAACCACTCCTGTGCTAGGAGTGCAGGCAGAAGGGAACCTGAGAACCCACTCAGTTACAGGTCCTGCGGGTGGGCAGTGCTGGGTGTTCCGGCCTGCCCCACCCCTGTGCCTAGATCCCCATCTGGGCCTCGAGTGGGTGGGATTCACAAAGGAAGAGCCAGAGTAGGCGTGGGGAGAGGCTGGCCCAGGCCGGACAAAGAGTCTGGCCAGGGAGCGGCACATTGCCCTCCCAGAGACAGTGGCTCAGTGTCCAGGCCTTCCCCAGGCACACAGTGGGCTCTTGTTCCCAGAAAACCCCTCGGGGGGATCCAAACAGTGTCTCCTCCACCCCGCTGACCCCTCAGTGTATGGGGAAACCATGGCCCATGGAAGGCCTGACTGCCTGGGGTCACACAGTATCTGAGTCACTGCAGCAGCATCACAGCTGCCAGCCCAGGCCCAGCCCCATCAGGAGACACCCAAAGCCACAGTGCATCCCAGGACCAGCTTGGGGACTGGGGGCAGGACTCTCAATGAGGCTGAGGGACGAGGAGGGTCAAGGGAGCCACTGGCGCCATGCACAATGAAGTCCACTCTGGCTGCCTGCGGAGCCTGGTGTGGAAGAGCTGGGTGGGGGATGGTGGAGAGTCCTGTTAACTCAGGTTTTTGCTCTGGGGATGTCTGGGGACCCATCAAGCTGGCCGCGTGCACAGGTGCAGGGAGAGCCAGAAAGCAGGAGCTGATGCAAGGAGGCCACTGGGTACAGCCCAGGCTGATGCTCAGGCCCCATGTGTCTCCACCACCTACAACCCTAAGCAAACCTCAGCTTTCCCATCTGGAAATCAGGGGTCACAGCAGTGCCCGGCACAACAGGCAACAGCTGACTCCACCACAGAGTGTCTGGTGCAGCCTGTGGGCACTTGGTACTCTCTGAGGGGCAGGAGCTGGGGGGTGAAAGGGTCCTAACTAGAGCATATGTAACAAGAGGGCAGCCCTGGGGACACCTGAGGACAGGACCCTCCAAAGGTGTCGAGTTTGGGAAAAGACTAGAGAGAAGCTCTGGCTAGTCCGGGCACAGACAGTGGCCACAGCCAGTGTGGAGCTGCATCCTCAGGTGTGAGCAGCAACCACCTCTGTGCTCAGGCCTGCCCTGCACACTCACAGGACCATGCTGGCAAGGACAACCGGCGGCAGAGTTGACTACCAACCCCAGGACCAGAACCATCAAGCCTGGGCTCTGCTCCGCCCAGGGAACTGCCTGCTGCCAAGGTCAGCTGAAGCAAGGGGCCTCACCCCGGAACACCTGCCCAGAAGTGTCCTCAGCTCACCTGAGCCTCATCCCAGGGGGAGGTGGCTGCTCCAGCATCCCCACCCACACGCTGCTCTCTGACCCTCAGTCTTCTGTTTGACTCCTAGTCCGAAGCTCAATCCTAGATCTCCCTTGAGAAGGGGGTCGCCAGCTGTCTGGCAGCCTAGCATCCAGGTCTTCTGGATTAATGAAGGGAGAGTCACCTGGCCTCTCTGCCTTGTCTGTTAATGGCATCATGCTGAGAATGATATTTGCTAGGCCCTTTGCAAACCCCAAAGTGCTCTTCAACCCTCCCAGTGAAGCCTCTTCTTTTCTGTGGAAGAAATTAGGTTTAGGGTGGAACAGGGCAGGCCTAAGACCTTTGCAGGGTCCTCTCCAGGTCCCCAGCAGGACACACTGGCTCCCTACCTCCCCTCATCACCCTAGACAAGTAGACAGAACAAGAGGTTTCCTGCTACAGGCCATCTGTGAGGGAAGCCGCCCTAGGGCCTGGAGACACAGGAATCCCTGAGGACCTGACCTGGGAGGGTAGTGCACAAAGGGGCCAGCATTGGGGAGGGGGTGGGGTGCTGTCCCAAGGTTCAGCTAGCAAATGTAGCACAGGGGTCACCAAAACTAAACCCCCAACTCAGTTGGGTCTGACAGTGGCTGACATGGCGGACACACCCAGGAATCAGGGGATGCCAAGTGCAGGTCAGGGCACCTGTCCAAGCCACACAGTCAGAAAGGGGATGGCAGCAAGGACTTAGCTACACTAGATCCTGGGTGTAAACTGTCTGGTAAGCTGGTCACTTCTAGTCCCCAGTCTGGAGTCTAGCTGGGTCCCAGGAGTTAGGCAAAAGCACTCTTCCCAGGCTGGAGGTGGGAAAGGCCCACATCCCATGCACATGTCTGACCAGAGGACAGATGGACAGCCCAGTTACCAGTCAGAGCCCTCCAGAGGTATCCCTGACTGACCCTACACACATGCTCCTGGGTGCCCAGGCACCCAGGCGACCCCGCAACCCCCTCCCAGGACCCACCAGAAGCAGGACAGGACTGGAGAGGCCCCAGCAGGGAAACCAAGTCAGAGCAGAAATGGCTTCGGTCCTCAGCAGCCTGGCTCAGTTTCTTCAAACCAGATCCTGACTGATCACATTGGTCTGTCTAACCCCTGGGAGGGGTCCTCCGTATCCATCTTCCAGATAAGGAAACTGAGGCTCAGGGAAGCCAGTCACTGCCTGAGGTCCCAAAGCCTATAAGGGAGTTCAAAGCCTTGGGCCAGGTCTGCCCAGGAGCTGTGGTAGAAGGGACCCTGGCTGCAGACCCCCAGAAGACAAGGCAGACCACCCGAGTTCTTCAGCCTTGTGGCTGTGGACAGCTGTCAGACCCCTCTGAGACCCCTTGCCACATGCTCCATCAGGGGCATCTCAGTTGAAGGAGGAAGGAGTCACCCCCAAAATCGTCCAACTCAGAAAACAGGCAGAGAAGCCGAGGAATCCGATCATTAGGCAAAATGTGACCCTGGCACAGACACTGAGGTGAGGGAACTGGAGCCAGTGTCGGGGAGGACCTCACAGCTGAGAGCAACTGGGGGTGCCCTGGGCAGGGACTGTAGCTGGGAAGATCCTGGGGAGCGCCTGATGGTCCCTCAAAGGCAGGAGAGACCTGGGCGACTCCCCCTAAACCAAGAGCGCCCCCTAGAAAGTCAGTTCCCCCAAGCGGGGGTTTGTCTGGCCAGCTCATGAGAGGTGCTGGTTGAGGGACAACAGCAACCCCCCTACCCTGCTCCAGGGGCCTGTTTGTGCAATGGAGGCCAGCCAGCCAGTGAAGGCTGCTTGGAAGGGCTGGGAAAGGGTCTGAGGCCCAGTGTCTTCAATCTGGGACCACCAGACTCCCATGCACTCCATTTGCCCCTGCCCCATTCTCAGGAAAAGGGGCCCAGCTTACCCAGAATGACCCCTGGTGGCAGGGGGCTCTGCCTCAGGGACTCCTTGAGCCCCAGCCAGCTGCTAGGTCCCCAGCTTCTGCCCACCCTTGGGGTGGGGGCTAGGAGGTTGGGGTTGGCTCCACAGGGGTGGGGAGAACTCAGCCTGGGACTGCCCGGGCATCTAGCTGGGTCAAACCTGAAAAGCCAGTTTCATCCTTGAATCTTCTCCCGGTCTCCAACAGGAAGTCCCGTTGGCGGGTGGGAGTTCCCAGGATAGGAGTAGGGCCTCCAGACCTAGGCCCCACCCACCCAGACAGACACACACATTCACAATCTTAAGTGGCACACACAGAAGGAACTCTGGTCAGGACCACCTGGACTGGAAGCAGGACTTGGGGGGCCAGGGAAGATCCCCTGCCCATTCCCCACCCAGCCCCACAAACATGCCCCCAGCATGACAGCCAGCCAGGCCCTCTGCCAATGCCCTGAGCATCTGGGGTCTGGCTGTCACGCCAGCTGGGAGAAGGCCTGTCCCTGTTGGCCTCTGCACACAGAGTGAGGGTCTGTCTTTGGGAGTCGCTCCCAGACCACCCTGGAGCTTCGATGTTTACAGATCGGGGAGTCAGCGTTGTGGGGCAGAAGGTGGAGTCAGTCCCCCACCCCCAGCTCCACGGCTCCTGCTATTCCCATCGGTGAGGGCGGCTGGGACAGGGACCATCCCGCCTTTAGCTGGAGTTTCAACTTGGAGGCACCACCCACCGGTGGTGGCCGGGAAGGAAAATGTAGTGGGGGGAGCTCAGAGGAGCCTGGGGCACCCCCGGACTTCAGCCTCCCGCTCCTGGGACCCTCAGCTGTTGGGCGGGGGCTGGAGCCGAGCTGTCCGGCCAGGCCAGGCCGCTGGGACTGCTAATCCGGCCACGGGCTATTTTTGCGGCGCGCCGGGCGAGGAATCCGGGGCTGGGCCGCCTCGGCGGGCGACTCGGAAAACTCCGGGAAGAAGAGTCCGGCCGCCCCAGCGAAGACTCGCCGCGATCCCTCCCCAGCCCCGGCCCCGGCCCCGGCCCCGGCCCCGACACGGCCCCGACCGCTCAGAGCAGCTCCGGCCACGGGGTGCTGAGGACGCGCCCCGCGCTCGGCGGACGCTGCCCCGGAACCCTGCGCTCCCGGTCGCGCTCACTCACCGCCGCCGCCGGGGGTCCTTGGGGGGTCCTGAGGGCTCCAGGGAGGAGGGGCTGCCGCCGCTGGCCGGGAGGGCGCCCGCGCCGAGTCCCCGCCCGCCCGCCGGTCCGGCCCGCCCGGGAATGCCATGGAGTGAGGGGCGTGCGCGCCGGGGGCGGGCCCGGCCGGAGGGGGCGGCCGCGCTGACTCAGGGCTCAGGAATGCGCGCCGCCCGCCTGCCCGGCCCAAGTCACCTCCTCCCGGAAGGCCGCTGGGCTCCCTTCTCCCCAGAGTCCGCCCGTGGGGACGCCTGGGGCTGAGGTCTCCAGCGCCTTGACCCAACGGAGGGCCTGGTGGGAGCTCCGCCTCTCCCCTGGCTCCAGATTGAGGCCTGACCTGTCGTCCTGCCCAGATTTGTGCTGAGAAGACCGGGAGTGAGGAGGGAGGGCAGGTACAGGGTAGAGGGTGGAGGATGGGTGGGTATCCCTGGCTCCCCTAAACCCGACCTCCTCCAGAGGCCCACACTCACCCAATCCCACTGAGCACTCAGTTCCCTCACACACATTCATGTGCACCGATCACTCACAATCACACACACACCTTCCCACATTCTTCCACTTCATGGGTTCATTCGCCTACACATGCACAGGCTCACATGCACCCACCTAGTCATGTACATCTTTCTATGGGTACATACTCATACCACTCACACATGTACACGTGTGCTGTGTACAGTGATGCACACACTCAGTTCAGGACCACAGTAATTACCCCTCCCCCTGCCTCGTGCCCCCACCCCCAGAAGCCCTGCCCCACCAGCAAGCCCTCAGGCCAGCCTGCACCAGGCCCCACCTGAAGCCACTGAGCAGAGGCAGCGCAGTGTCTGGTGTCCACTCTGGGCTCTTGTCACTGTCTCAGAGCTTAGCGGCCACCCCGGGGTGGGCTCATATCCCTGCACAATCTGGGCTGCACTCAAAATGACCCTCTGCTTTCAGCTGGGGCTGCTAGTGGGAGTTTCCCAGCATTTCTCTCCTGACACTGGGTGGGTTGACCCACCCAGGGCACATCCCAGGGTGGGGCACAGGGGTGCCAACAGCAGAGTACAGGCAGGGTTGTCCAGGAGCTCTGAGTGGTAGGGGCCGAGGCTTCCTCTGGAGAGAGGGTACAGGATCCCTTCTTCCCATGGGTCCCTAAGGATCCCTCTACAGGGTGCCCCCTCAGGCCTCGGACAAGTGTGTCTTCAGGTCCTGTGCTGGTCACAAGGCTGCTGCTGCTTCAGTGCCATCCTCTGGGTCTGGGTGGCACCAGTCCTCTCCAAACTGAGCTGTTGCACCCAGTGCCCAATGCAGACAATGGCCTGGTCCTTGGCTACACAGAAAAGAAAGGGGACAATTTGAACGAAAGGTGCTGGTACACTTATGGGTAGATCCCAGAGCCTGGGCAAGAATCCTCTGCCCGTATCCTTGTCCGTGCCATGGAACAGGGTGGTGCCTGCACATAGTGGGTCCTCTCTGAACACAAGCAATATCAACACAATTCTCATGGAGAAGGAGACAATGAAAGCTTTGGAGGGGGTGGAGGGGAACTCCACCAGAGGGATGACTGCCAGTGCATCAGGGACACCAGGTGAGAGGGAGCCTGCCCCGGTGCCAACACTCAGTGCTCCTGTAGCCTGCATGTGCCACCCCTCCCATGCCAGGCTCACAGCCAGAGATAGGACAGTCTCCGTGCTTAGCAATATTGACCCCTGCCAGGGATAAGCAAGCCCTACTGGGCCTGGATGCCCAGACTAGGCTGGCAGGGCCACAAGTGGTGTCCTCTCTGGAAAGCTGGGGACTGGGCTTGCCTCCAAAGCATGCCACAGCTGGGCATCTGATGTCAACAGGTCTCCTCCTGCAGTGGACGCTGTCAGACCCCACCCAGACACGCTCCAAGTCCCAGACACTCATCGCCAGCTGCCAGGAGCACCAGCCACAGCTGGCTCTGAGCTGAAACACCCCACACCCAGCAGTCACCTTCGGTGGAGAGCATGCCCCAGTCTGCCCCTGCAGACAAATCCCCATCTTACAGCCTGTGTCCAGGAATCCCCAGGTTCTCAGCCCACCCTGGCCTCCTGAGTGAGGTCATCAGAAGGATGATCACAGGGGATTCAATACATGTGTGCTCAGTGTCAGGCCTCTGAGCCTTCAGATGGCCTGAAGCAAGTGAAGAATCACAGAAGAAGTGAAAATGACCGGTTCCTGCCTTAACTGATGACATTACCTTGTGAAGTTCCTTCTCCTGGCTCAGAAGCTCTCCCACTGGGCACCTTGTGACCCCCACCCTGCCCACCAGAGAACAACCCCCTTTGACTGTAATTTTCCACTACCTACCCAAATCCTATAAAACGGCCCCACCCGTATCTCCCATTGCTGACTTTGTTTTCGGACTCAGCCCACCTGCACCCAGGTGAAATAAACAGCCTTGTGCTCACACAAAGCCTGTTTGGTGGTCTCTTCACACAGACATGCATGAAACTCAGGACTGTACCCAGTCCACATGGACAACTGTGTGCACATATGTGTGCTCTGCCTCATGCCTGCCCTACTACTCTCTGTTCTGGTGGAGGAGCCCCCCTATACGGAAACCCAGCTCCTGGCCCCTCTCCTCCCACTTCCTGCACCCTGGAGAAATGGAAAACAGCTACAGTTGCCCAGCACTCACAGGGCTGCTGGCCAGGCGTCTTGAGAATGGGTGGGTGTCCACACCAACCCCAGGGTTTGTGGACCTCACACCAGGACACGAGAGAACAGGAGCCCTGACCAGTAAGAGGAGTGTTCCCAACAACTACCCCAGAATCCTCAGCTACCCCAGAATCCTCAGCTCAGCTTTCAGGCCACAAGTAATCACCCAAGGGGTCAGACTCTGGGCTTTGGAGAGTCCCTGGAATGATCAGAACTGCCCCTGCCTGGGGAGCTCCAGGGATGGGCCCATGACCAGCTCCTGGCTATTTGGGGAAGAGGCAGAAGTGGGCCAGGCCAGCCAGTGGCCTGAAGTCATAGGGCTATTTCTGAGGCAGCTGCCCCTCCCCATATCCCAGGGTTTGGCAAGGGGTTCCCATAAGCACCTGGGCCCAGGGCCCAGCAGCACAGACCCAGGCAGGGAGGATGTAGCTCACACACACCCCACTTTGGCCTGCCCAGTGGCTGCCTTCTCTGCCCAAGGAAGCTTTGACCCTCCAGGGATCACCAGACACAGAGGGCGCTGGGGACCAGTCAAGAGGCCAGCAGCCACCCTGCTGGGAAGCTGCCAGCTCAAAGCTGTGTAGAGGAGCCCATGGGCTCCGACTTGACACCCGCTTCAACAGTTGTCAGCACCCCCCTCCATCAGAGAGAAGACAGAGCCAGTGTGCTGGGCACCCTGGGGTCCTGAGGCTGATACTAGAACCCTGGCCCCTGTGGCCGATAGAGCCACATCTCTCAAGGACTTGCTTATAAAGGCTCCAGTGACTGATGGCCACGCCTCCTACAGCTAGAGGCAGCTCCAGCCCGTCCACAGCCTATGGCCTGTTGTGGAGGTCGGGGGTCAGGGCTGCTCACCCCAGCACCAATACTAGCCTTCACTCCTTTCAAAGCCTCGAGGGTGTCCTCCATCTTCCACTGATATCCTTGCCTCCTCCAACAAGCCTGTTCCAGCCCAGCAGTGGGGCAAACTGGGGACAGAGGAGGCCCCAGGCCCCCCTCCTCTCACCTGGCACCACTTTCTCTTGCCCCGGACCAGCCCGCCAGCCCACTCTGCAGGCCACAGTTGGAACTCTCATCCCACCACTTCCAGCCTGTGGTGGCAGCCTTAAGACCACAAACCAGGAAGTCGGGGGGGTTGTGGAGGGGTGGGGGGGGTGCCCAGAGATTGCGCAACCCGCAGCACTCAGGCCAGAACATCTGGAGAAGTTGGTTGCTGGCGCCCCAGCGCCAGCCTCTCCACCTCCTGGGGCAGGGGCCAGTCTGCCCTTCAAGTGGTTCTCTTTCCTCATAAGAATGGTGGGGATAAAAACACCCCTCTGGGAGCTCCTGGACTCCCCATGATTTCTGCAAGGACCACGTATCACTTGTAAAACCAGAATAAATATAAGTACAAAGTAACACCCATCCTCTCCCTGCCCATCAAGAAGACAAAGGCTCAACTGGGGCCTCAGTTTCCCTACTAGACTGAGGGGGAGCGCTGGGAGGACGGGGGACTATTGCCACCGGAAGGAGAGACTTATTGTTTGGAAGGCATGGCTGCAGGGGATAAGCAGGGAGGGTGTGGGATCACATCCAGGGCTGCTTTATAAACATGGATTGATGACACATTGTGCCCCCACCCCCGGAAGCGGCACACAGTGCTACAAACAGCTGGTGGCTTCCAGCAGCTCATGGCCCCTCCCTCCCCAGGAAGTCCTGGCTGGGGCCCATGGGAGTGGGACGGCTGGTCAGAGGAGAAGACGCAGTTGGAGACCAGGGTCCTGCTCTGTTTGCCTTTCTGTAGGACCAGGTGTCACCCTCATCTGAGGGCTCCAGACACATGGCCTGTGCGTCTGTCCTGCCCAGTGTCTCCCAGCTGACACAGTCAGGTGCCCAGTTGCTCAAGCCCTTTTCAGGTGCCCCTTTCCAGGACCAGGGTCACAGAAGTCAAAGACACCTCAGGAAAAGCCCCTCAAGAGTTTTTGTATGGCAGAGGTGGATTGTGGGGTGGGATTGTGCCTGCCATAGGGGAGGGGCCCTGCAGACCCAGATAAACCCCCAAGTGGCCAGAAGTGGGGGATGGCTCTGCTGGGTGCTGGGGCTGCCATGAACCGTGGGAGCCAGCAGTGTTCCCAGCTCCCTCAGGGCCCGTCCCCTAGGCCCTTCTTTCCACTGGGCCAAGCACCATCCCTTCCCCTGCCTAGGGGCATGGATTCGACCTGAGAGGTAGTGAGAGGTTACAGGCCGCTGGGCCTTGGGGAGGCCTCAGAAGGCTGCGCACTGACAGGCTGTGTTCAGCCCTGGTTTGGCCTCAGTCTCTAGAAGAGGCTGGCTGCGCTCCAGCAGGCCCAACCCAGAAAGTGGGCGAACTCCCTTCAGCATCCTTGGGCGGAAAGAGGGATGGGGGCTCTGCGGCCGACGCAGAATCCGCGCCGCTCCCTCCTTCCTTCCCCCCCACCAGGCTGTGACAACCCCGGACCAGGGGCGGGGGCTTCCGCAGAGGCCCGGAGTCCACTTCCTGGATAAGGACTCCCTGGCCCACTCCGGACTAGGGCTGGGGCGGTCTCCCAGGCGCGCACTCCGCAGGCACCCCACCAGAAAACACGTCTGCGGCCTGCACCCTCCCCCAAAGCACGACCACTCCGCCCTGGCCCCTCGAGGACCCACTCAGGTTCACGATGGGCCCGTCCTCTTGGTGGTCTGACCACCCGCTGGTGGAGTGGGCTCTGAGGCCGCCAGGCGACCAGGGCGCAGGCGGGGACTGACAGCGGGTCATTGGGAGGGGCGCCGGGGCACAGTGGGGTGCTCGCCCCACCCCCACCTGCCCCTTCCCGGCTGTCGCTCCGCAGGCGCCGCATCAGGCCCGGGCCTGGGTCCAGAACTGGTGGTGGGCGCTGGGAAGACGATCCACCTCCCTGTGGTCTGCCCCGCCCCGGGGCCGCAGCCCGTTCCCTGCGCTCACTGCCCCCGCCTTCACGGCTTCCGTCCCGTTCTGCGCAGGCGCCGCTCCGCCCCGGTACCAGCGGTGCTTCCGGGGTCGGCGGCGGCTGGGGTCGGCGGCTGCTGGTCTCTGTGCCGGGGTCCGAGCCCCACGAAGCCCCGACCCGAGCTGCCGGATGCCTGCGCGCAGCGGGGCCCAGGTGAGCGCGCGCCTCGGCCGCCCCGCGGAACAGACGCGCCCACCCCAAGGCGCAGCAGCGAGCGCGGCCGCCGGAGCGGGAGTACCGGGGACGGGCGTACCGCCCACCGCCCCGAGGGTTGGGGCAGAGCCAGAGCGTAGGCAAGGGCCAAGCTCGGGCCGAAAGCAGGGGCCGCAGCGCCCGGGGGCTGAGCCCACGGCGCGTTGGCAGCGCTGGCCGAGTGCGGAGACAGTCACGTCAGCGTCCTTTCCAGGCCGACTGGCAGTCTCCGTTCGACATGAACGTCAGCACTCCCGTTAAAAATAATGCATCTCTCCCATGCCAGGAGGACTTAGGTGCTGCTGAAGACCAGCCCTCTGGGTGCTGCCAGGCCGATGCGCACCCGCCTCCTGTATCTTCCCTCCTCCTTTGCCTCAGGACAGCTGAGGATGTGTGGTCAGGTTCCGCCTAAACATGGGGAGGCCACAGGTGGGAGGCTGGGGGTCTGCTGGGTCTCAGCAGACCCTCCTGGTCCCTCAGGAGACCTTGCCTTTGCCCCACTTGCTCGTTATCCAACCTGGGCCATGAAGCAGAGGACAGTTAGGGACCCTGAGCACATGGGATGGGGCCCGGCCAGTGGTCACCCCGGTACTCACTCCTCCCTGTGTGTCAGGCCTTGGGGGCCATTCCAAGGATTCTGACACACTGGGATCCCTGCTAAGGCCCTGCCAAGGTCCTGGCTGTGTTTTGAATTCCTGGTAAGGGTTGGATGAAAGGGCAGGGTTCCAGAAACCAGCTCAGACGTTTGCTTGGGACCTGCATGATGAGTGGGAATCAGAGGGCCCCAGCCCTGCTGTCCCAGGCTCCGGCCACCATTTGCTCCCCAGGTCGTGCAGCCTGGGCCCCCACGCTGTGCAGCTCGCACATATGTGGGGCAGAGCAGCCACCCTGCCACCAGCAGCAGCCGTCCATCAGATGTAATCATTTCCTGAGGCCTCGAGTGTGTCGGGGTGTTTGTGCCTTATAACTACCCACAGGATGGTCACCCCCGCTTTGCAGATGAAGAAACCGAAGCAGGTGGTCAAATCCAGTCTTTGCACTTCCTGAGCCTGACCTTACCAGACAGCTGTCTTCTATTCGGATGCTTATTTATTTATTTTTCCCATTACAGTTTTCCCGAAGGATGGGGCAAAAAAAGCAGCGACTAGCCAAAGCAGAGCAGCCACACAGCCCGTCTGACACAGCCCAGGCACCTTGCCCCAAGGAGCCCTGTTTGGGACCACCCACCACCCTGGGCCCATACCGCAGCATCTATTTCTCAAGCCCGAAGGGCCACCTTACCCGACTGGGGTTGGAGTTTTTCGACCAGCCAGCAGTCCCCCTGGCCCGGGCATTTCTGGGACAGGTAATGTGAACATAGCAACGTGGTCTCTCCTAAAGTGCCTGTCACTGCAGTTGTCCCTGAAGCCCTGTCCGCTGCCTGCTGGGCTTGGCCCTCGGTTAGTCCTCCTTGTCCTCGTGCAGTTAGCTGCTTTGCTCACACTGGTCCCTGGATAGCTCCTCTCAGTTGCCTGAGATCATCTGGGAAGAATGTGGAGATTGTCAGTGTTGTTTGCCCAGGGTGCAGCAGGGGTGCCACTGTCTACCCCCCGGCTTCTGGCATCTAGGGCAGGAGCACTTGCACTGTTAGCCTTCCTCACCTGGAATCCACCTCACAGTTTTTCCACACATGGGAACTGTGGCTGTGGCCAGTGTTCGGCTGCCCGTTCCCACTGTAGTGGCTCTCAGTGCAGTGCTGGCTTCCCAGGGCCCCTGCAGCTCACTGTAGGTCCAGGATCTGGGCTCTGCCTATCAGACTTGGAGTAAGAAGGAGGGACTGCCCAGGGCCCATTCTGGTGGGGCCTGCGGTGCAGGCTGTCCCCACAAGCAAATGCTCACACAGCCACGGCATCTTGGCTGGATCTGTTGGGAGCACTGTCTGGGTGGTGGTCCTTGATGCCAAAGCCCCAGGCCTGCCTTTCTGGTTCTCCAGAGGCTCCAAGGCCTTCTCTTTGTCCTTTAATGAGCCTACTTTTAGATTATAATCACCAAAAAGAGCCAGAAGAGAAATACCAGTGGCAGGAATTGGGTGCTAAAGAGCAGACCCTAGAATGTGGGCTTGATCTCGTGGAGAACAAACAACATTCTGTCCCCATGTGGATCCTTCTAAAAGCACCTTAAATGGGCATTTGTGGCCAGGCATGGTGGCTCACACCAGTAATCCCAGCACTGTGGGAAGCCGAGGTGGGCAGATCACGAGGTCAGGAGATCGAGACCATCCTGGCTAACACAGTGAAACCCTGTCTCTACTAAAAATACAAAAAACAATTAGCCAGGCGTGGTGGCAGGCGCCTGTAGTCGCAGCTACTCAGGAGGCTGAAGCAAGAGAATGGTGTGAACCCGGGAGGTGGAGCTTGCAGTGAGCCAAGATCACGCCATTGCACTCCAGCCTGGGCGACAGAGCGAGACTCTGTCTCAAAAAAAAAAAATAAAAATTATCTGGGTGTGATGGCGGGTGCCTGTAATCCCAGCTACTTGGGAGACTGAGGCAGGAGAATCGCTTGAACCCAGGAGGCAGAGGTTGCAGTGAGCTGAGGTCACGCCATTGCACCCCAGCCTGGGTGACAGGGCAAGACTCTGTCTCAAAAATAAAAAATAAAATATGATGGGCATTTGTGATACAACAAAACGGTACATGTGGCAGGTGCATCATAGGAGCAGGGCAAGGGCCCAGTGTGGCATCAGGGACCACAATACGTTTGTCTCTATTCAGCATCCTTGGCAGGCCACAGTCATGCCCACTTGAGCTCATTGGTGGACAAGATGATGTCCAGCAGAGAAGAGGGTGTTTCACCGTGTCCCTTGGATTAGGGACAGCCCTCTCCATAACCTCCCAGTGGATGCCCTTGCAGACCCCTCAGCCGGGCTTGGGTCATGCACTCATCCCTAAAAGCGTCACTGCAGTGAGTTGCCATGAAATCCCAGGCCACTCTCTGGGCTGAGGAGGGTGTGGTGTCCCCCAGGAGGCTCTGCCAGCAAGGAAGAGGGTGTGGGTGTTGGCAATGGGGGTGGAGTGAGAGGCCCCAGTATCTGCCATTGGTGGAAATGGTATCAGAGTGAAATCCAGATCAGAAATTTGGGATGGAAAAGGAAACAGTGAGAAAAGGGCTGTGGGAACCTCCTCTCCAGAATGGTACTTGGGCCCCCCCAGTGTGCCCCCATGGAGGCAGAGGAGTGCGCATCGTGAAGCCCCTGGAGGGGCATTCCCTCTAAGCTCCAGGGAAGATGGAACAGGGCCACCCTTTCTCCCCTGGACGTGGTCTGGCCAAGCCTGGCCTGTTCACTTCTGTCCTCACGGCTCTGGATGCCTAAGGATTTCTGGGCTTCCAGCACAGGCACTGACCCCTTCTTTCCTCCACCCTATCTCCAGGAAGGCCTCCTGAATGCTCCCCCAGCAAGCATCTGAGCTCCAGTGCCCCTGCTCCCCAGCCCATGATACTGACCATGGCCTCTGGCACCGCAGGGCTTCATGGGCTGAGGTGAAGGTGGTCTGGCTGTCCAGCTGATGCCTCTGGCCTAAAAACAAGACAGGTGCTGGGGATGTGGCTGGTCCCCAGTGCTCTGCTGTTAACTCGGGCTCCAAGCACTGAGGGCACAACTGTTGGCCGTTACCAAGACCATGGTCCAGGCTGGGGCACCGTGGGGCAGCTGGGCCTACTGCTCAGAAAGGCCTTAGAGCCGGAGGGTGGGAGCTTAGTATGAGGGTCCCTTGTGGCCACCTCAGCAGCCCAGGTTTAGGGGACTTCACAGGCTCTGGGATTTCCCAGGTAGCTGGTGTGGGGACATCCTTGGGGTCCTGTGCCTTCCGTGATGCCTGGCCTCATGCTAAATGCTGATGGTTTTCTCAGGGGTACTTGGGAAAGGAGGAAGCTGGGGAATGGAGGGCCCTGCTGAGAGGACTTGGAGGTTGACCTGCAAGGTGAATCCATGACTGCTGGTTCCCAGCCCCGCCCTGGCTGTGGCCTGAGGTGTCTTTGGCTTGCGGTCTGGTGGTCTAGCAGGGCTGGAGCAGACAACTGGTACCCTCGACAGCCATATTCAGGCTCAGCAGGAGCAAGAGAAGAGGCAGGATGGATACGGGGCAAGGTCCATGGCTAGACCTGGGCGGCTGACACACCCTGAGCTGGGGAGATGAGGTCCAGGCTGGGCACTGTTAGGGTGAGTGGACCCCCATCCCTTCCTGCCCTGAGCAGAAACTGACTTCGCACAGGTCCTAGTCCGGCGACTTCCTAATGGCACAGAACTCCGAGGCCGCATCGTGGAGACTGAGGCATACCTGGGGCCAGAGGATGAAGCTGCCCACTCAAGGGGTGGCCGGCAGACCCCCCGCAACCGAGGCATGTTCATGAAGCCGGGGACCCTGTACGTGTACATCATTTATGGCATGTACTTCTGCATGAACATCTCCAGCCAGGGTGAGCAGTGCTGGGGCATGGGGGGTTGGCGGTTGAGGGGGCTGGAGGGCTGGCAGAGCCCCGTCAACTAACAGCCAGCAGACCACCAGGAGGACTGAGGTGGGGCAGATATTTGAGCAAGGAAGTGCCATTTCCAGGGCCAGGTCAGGGTTTCAGGAGCTCTGGCTGCATTGACAGGGCAAGGTTGGTTAGAGGAGTAGAAAGGGTTGGTTGGGGCCAGTCGTGGTGGCTCACACCTGTAATCCCAGCACTTTGGGAGGCTAAGGCGGGCAGATCACCTGAGGTCAGGAGTTCAACACCAGCCCGGCCAACATGGTAAAACTCCGTGTCTACAAAAAATACAAAAATTAGATGGTCATGGTGGTGGGCACCTGTAATCCCAGCTACTAGTGAGGCTGAGGCAGGAAAATCACTTGAACCCGGGAGGTGGAGGTTGTGGTGAGCCGAGATCACGCCACCGCACTCCAGCCTGGGCGACAAGAGCAAAACTCCGTCTCAAAATAAAAAGAAAGGGTTGGTTGAAGTGGAGGCAGAAAGGAGGCCGAGGACACAGGTGTCACCTGCCCTTGATGGAGGCAGCACATGAGGATTACAAGCCAGTTTGAGAAGAGGATGATCGCAGTGCTAAGAAGAGCAGAGTGGTCAGGTTGCCAAGGATGGAGCAGTGGGCATAGCAGCGGGGAGTTAGGGTGGGCAGAGAAGTAGGCGAGGACAGGGAGGTTTGGTAAGAAGAGATCAAAGGGTCGTATTTTTGTCAGGATGTGGGACTTGGATGTGTTGTGTGTGAAGGAGCCAGGGCAGGGGGGTGTGGTGATGAGGGCGGCCAGGCTTTGACTCATTTGCAGGCGGCTCTGTGGGGGCTCAGTGGGACCGTGAGGGGCATGTGTTTTGCACTCACAGGGATGTAGAGGGTCCCGCTCCTTCCTACTGAGGTGGGTCAGGGTGGGCAGCGGGTGCCCCACCTGGTGAGCTGGAAGCAGCGTGGGAACCACAGAATGGACGGGAACTTAAAGGCTTTGCTTGGCCTTGATTTTAGCTTGAAATACTTTGACAACTGGCTGGTCAAGGGTATCTGCTGAGAGGAATGCCGCACTTGCTGGCTTTGCTGGAGGGCATGGCCTCGTCCGCTAGTGCTCGCCCCTGGCTGCTGATGCAGAGGCTCACATGGCCACAGCCCAAGAGTGGGGACTGGCTTGGCCACCTCTGGGCTAAGCCTCTGACTCCCAGGTGGCTGGGAGGGCCAGGGGTGCACAGGTGAGTCACAGCAGGTGTCTCCAGGGAGCTGCCTTGCTGGAGGGCTAGGGCTCCTCTGGCCAGGGTCCAGGTCATCATTGTCCCCAGCCGGGAATCCAAGGGACCTTTCCAAACCTGCAGGGCAGAGGAAATTCAGATATCTGTGCTTGAGTGAGCCCCTGGGCCCGGGAGCCTTCACTTGCTGTCTCTGCTTCTCAAGTGGCCTGGCCTGGTGAGGGAGGGGCTAGGCTGGAGGAAGGATCCCAAGGGAGGTGAGGGGCGCTTCGCCAGCCTTCTCCTGCCCTGCCTGTGCAGGGTGTGGCAGTCCGTCTTTCCACTGAGTCACTGCATGGGCTCTCTCGACATCCGGTGCACACTGACAGCTGCTCTAAGCCAACCCCTAGCCCCCACCACTTGACCAACACAAATGCTGAGTGGGTGAGGCAGAAGGGGAGCCCTGGGGCCTGGCTAGGCCCAAGGTTTCCTGCTTCCTGGCAGAATGATCGCAACCGAGGACTGGCTCTCTGGAGCTTCCTTTGCTGGCCTCATAGCTGCTGCCAGTCACAAGACCAGGGGAAGCCAGGTAGAAAGGAGCTGGTATCCGGCATTCATCATGTGTTTTTAACAGTCTGGCTTTGTGAGGGCGGCCACAGTGGTGGAGGCACTGCCTGGTGGTGGCAGCCAGAGGTGCCCACAGGAGGCACACCTCATGGTGCAGGCATGGAGGATGGCAAGGTAGGCAGAGGGGTCTGGACACAGTGAGGTGCAGCCCCCTCCCACCAGGTCAGACCCAGGAGACGGTGCAGGTGCATAGAGCAGGTCCCTGGCCCAGGCAGGAAGGCAGCTGTCTGGATGTGCACTAGGGCAGAGAAGACAGGAGCCTAGGGAGGCTCCACTTCCACATTGTCCATCCATCCCACAGGGGACGGGGCTTGCGTCTTGCTGCGAGCACTGGAGCCCCTGGAAGGTCTGGAGACCATGCGTCAGCTTCGCAGCACCCTCCGGAAAGGCACCGCCAGCCGTGTCCTCAAGGACCGTGAGCTCTGCAGTGGCCCCTCCAAGCTGTGCCAGGCCCTGGCCATCAACAAGAGCTTTGACCAGAGGGACCTGGCACAGGATGAAGCTATATGGCTGGAGCGTGGTCCCTTGGAGCCCAGTGAGCCAGCTGTAGTGACAGCAGCCCGGGTGGGCATTGGCTATGCAGGGGAGTGGGCCCGGAAACCCCTCCGCTTCTATGTCCGGGGCAGCCCCTGGGTCAGTGTGGTCGACAGAGTGGCTGAGCAGGACACACAGGTCTAAGCAAAGGGCCTGCCCAGACAATATTTTTTAATTGTTTAAAAAACAAATAAATGTTTTATTTCTAGAAAATTGCGCTTTAGCCAGAGCTCTTCTAGGTGATCAGCATGTGTCTGGAGCCAGCTCTTCCTCCAGGACACGAGGGCTGGGGGCCCTGAGTACGTAGTGCCAGACCCAGTGTGGATGCTGGGGAGAATCATCAGTGTGGGAGCAGAGAGCCCCCGAGGGTGGGGTCCTGCACAGTGGGCCATGCCTCCACCAGCAAGATGTGCACAGGTGACAGGGCTGCTCCAGCCTAGCAGGGGAGCTCAGGCCCTCGCGCCCCAGATGGTCAGGACCAGGTCACAGCTTCGCTATGAGCCTGTTTGTGGCTTCCATGGACTGTGGTGAGGGCTGGGCCAGGAAAGGCTCATGGCAGCCTGGGAGGAAGAAGTGCATGGCAGACAGAGGTGGTGCTAGGGACAGGGCCACAGGGCACTTCACAAATGGAAGGCTGTCAGAGAGACGGGGACAGGCCACACAAGTGTTTCAGCACATTCTTCAGGGTGGCCACAGAGGGGGGTTCCAGGGAGCAGGTGTAGGGACAAAAGGAGGGTCTGAGAAACGCACAGCTCACATGGGCCTAGAAGGATGCAGCCCTCACCCAGAGACAGGAGTTCTGGCAGGCCCCCTCCAGGGTGGAGACGCCTACACATGCGGCGAGGACTGGAGGGAAGCATAGGAAAGCGGAGGGCAGCGGCCTCACAGCTGAACCACCAGGGGCCAGTACAGCGGGGCTCTGCAGGCTTCACTGGGCCATGGCTGGCCGGCATCCACCCAGTGCCAGGCCTCAGGGCTAAGAGGGCTCAGCCTCAGCAGGGAGGAAGCCCTGGGTGGGAAGATGCGAGCGCCCACCTGCACACCCCAGCAGCCTTCCGCCCTCTGCCTGGGCTCAGGGAAGCAGAGCCTGGAAGACGGCAATCACGGGGTCCTCGTGGGTGGTCACCACCAGCACGCTGCGGAACTTGTCAAACAGCATGAGCAGCTGGGAGCGCCGAGTGTTCTCGTTGTACATAATCTCCTCCAGGTGGTGGCGGCCTCGGAAGTAGTGAAGGAGCCTGGAAGGGATGGGTGGGCGTGAGCCCAACCTGATGCCAGCCCCCAAAGGCCTCTGCTGAATAGCTACTGTTGGGAATCAACTCTGAGCTGCCCATAGGCCTGAGCAGAGCTGGCAGTGAAGGCCAGGGAGGCAGCCACAGACCCCCAACAAGGGCAGGCAGGCCTCCAGGACCGCACGCCCACCATGGTCCTGCTGACCAGCAGGTGGGCAAAGTGGGTCCAGGAGGATAGACAGCTGTTCACACCCAGAGCTGCCCCAGCCTGTGTCCTGATGTTGGGATCAGGGGTCTGCTGGTGGCTTTTTTTTCATGCTATGGTGAGTCCCACATAGCTCTGAAGCCAAAAGGTCACAGCTTTTATTTCCCCCCCCTCCCCAAGAAATGGAGTCTCACTGTCACCCAGGCTGGAGTGCGGTGGCTCGATCTCGGCTCACTGCAACCTCCACCTCCCAGATTCAAGCAATTCTCCTGCCTCAGCTTCCCAAGTAAGCTGGGACTACAGGAGTGTGCTACCATGCCTGCGTAATTTTTGTATTTTTTAGTAGAGACAGGGTTTCACTATATTTTGGCCAGGCTGGTCTCGAACTCCTGACCTCAGGTGATCCACCCACCTTGGCCTCCCAAAGTGCTGGGATTACAAGTGTGAGCCACTGTGCCTGGCCTGCTTTTTTTTTTTTTTTAATGTCACCATCATTTGGAAAGTCACTGCTTTAGGGTGGTTTCTGCAACTGAGGCTGGCACAGAGGATGCTAGAGTGCAGGTGAGACCTGGACCAGCTGCTCAGAAGCATTGCAAGTGGTCCTCTCAAGGGCCTGGAGTGTGGTTCTTAACAGGGAACTCAGTCCCTGACAACCTGACCACTCCCGGAAAAGTGTGCCACTACACTATCCCCCACATCAGGGTGGGGCTGACAGAGACCACTGAGCCACATCACCTATAACGTGGGGGATCCTGGGTGCCCCCCGGGGCTTAGAGTCCTGGGCAAACCCCTGCCAAGTCTCCTGAGGGTGAGAACTTGGCACTGCCTCTCAAGGGACAAGGAATATCTAAAGTAGTGGAGAGCGAAGAGGCCCAAAAACAGGCACGCCAGGCCCCCAGCCCGGGGTCTTGGTGACAAGCTGCATCCCCATGCCTGGGCAGTGGCACCTGCCCCTACACACCTGATTGCAGAGACTCCATCTCGAACAGGGCCCCATTTGTTCTCAGTGGATCTGGTCCCGTTGCGTACGTCCCTATCCACTTTCTGCCCTGACCCTGCAACTGGCCCCAGTCCCAACGGTCAACCTGCACCCACCTGGCAAACATGCGGAGGTCCTCAGGGTTCTGGGCTGCGGGTACACTGAGGATGGCTGCGCGTTCATGCTCTGACAGGCTGGCCAGCAGGTTTTCCGTCATCCTCTGGTTCAGTGGTGAGTCCCCGCTGGGAAGCAGCTCTGCGCTGGAGTTGTCCATGCTGGGGCTGGTGAGGGTCATGTCATCACTGCTGGCTGTGGGGGCCATGGGTCAGGGTGACCAAGTGAAATTCCAGGACACCCAGGGGAACAGCGAGGGCAGAGCCAGCAGCCAGCCTCCAATGACACCCCTAACTCCCACAAGGGCCCTATCTGGTACCCCAGCTGCAACATCTGCCTGCAAGCATCCGCGGCTGCCCCACCTCCTGGGTGTGACACACGCCCCTCATATGGCTGACTTGGGAAATGGGTAGCCTCCCCTCTGGGGGCACCCTCAAGGGACCTGAACAGAGGTGCAATGTGTACCCCACAAACACCCCAAGGTGGGCCTGGGCATCTTGCCCCTCACCCAGGATGGAGGACAAAGCACCCTGGGCAAGCGGGGTCCTCACATGAAGCATGAACCCTACAGCCAGACCTCAGCCAGGGGAGGACTTTCAAAGTCTTCCACCCCCTTCTGTCTCGAAGCCTGGGGACCTGGGACCTGGCAACAGGCTGCCGCCCTTGAGCCACACTGGCCATGACAGCTGTTCTGGGGCACAGAGGTGTCAGCTGTCCGGGTAGTGCTGTGAGATCCTGCTCTGATCCCAGGCTGGGGCAGAGATTCCAGCACTGATTTGGTGGGCTGGGAGCTGCTCCTGACTCTAGCAAGCCTGCTGAAGAGCCTGGAGGCAGAGCTGCCACCTCAGAGTCATGGTGGTGCTAGGAGACAGGAGAGGTGTCTCCACGGGGGACACAAGGCGTGTGCCTGTGACTGTGTGTGTGCAGCCATGTGGAGGCCCCTCAACACTCACAGCAGGGCCCATGTTGAGCCTCCTGGGCACCACCCCCAAGCATCTCCCCTGACTACCACAGCGATGCCCTGGGGGCCCTACTTGGGGAGCCAAAGCTGAGGGCGTTGGGCGTGCTGAGGCTGCGACCGCCGACCCGGGCAGTGAAGGGGACGTCGTCCTCTCGCGGGCGGGGCTCCTCCTCGCTGGGTGAGGCCATCAAGCAGACATAGGTGTGCAGCTGGATGAGAAGCCGGCGCTGTAGCATCCACACCACCATCTGGATAAGCTGGGTCTGCGGGTGGCAGCAGGTGAGGCTGGTCCCCCTCCCCACTCCAACTTCTTCCTGGGGGATCAGGGACCCATGGCCCTAGACATGGCCACAGCACACTCCCTGTGCTGACTCACAGGCAGAAAGACCCCCTTCTCAGAAAGGGAGCCCCCAGCTGCCAGCCAGCTCTGCAAGGCCAGCTCACCCTCCTGGGAAGGGAGAGGGGCCAGGGGACATCTGGATCACACCTGCATGGGCTCCCACCACACACCTGGGCCGCCCAGCATCTGGCTGAGGAGCAGGACCTGAGATGTGGAGGCCCCCTGTGACCGCTGCTCTGAGCAAATCCCCCACACTGTGCTGCTGCAGCTGCCCCTGTGCCTCCTCTCTCCTTCGGCCCATTGGCCCTGTAGTTGGTCCCAGCCAGCCAGTCCACCTCCAGACAAGCCCAGACACTGTTTAGAAAGAGGCTGTGGGCAGGCACCCTGAGAGCAGAAAGTCCTCTCCTTGGATCTACCTGAAAGTCCACCCTGAGCACAAGGGTGGATCCACAAGAAAGCTGAAGCCAGTGACCCTGGGCTTGGGGGTGGAGCACCCCCCTCCCCATCCCCACCGTGAGAAGGCACGTCCTGGCCAGGCTGTCCAGTGTCTCTGGGTTAGCAGGTGGGGCTGGCAGTGAGAAGAAGTGAGGAGCCTTGTGCCAGGTAGAGTCCAGTCCCCGTGAGAAAGCACTGCCCAGACACAGGCACTGAGCAGCGAGGAGTGTGAGACAGCATCAGTGTCCTCAGATACACATCTGTCTCCTCATCTCTGGGAGGGTCGACAAGGAGCTGCTGGCCAGTGTTACCTCCTGGGAGGGGGCTGGGGAACTGGGGATGGGAATGGGGGATATACACCAGGTAAGTAAGAAGACGACCTGGTCAAACGGACTGCAAAATATCCAGACTTAACGCGAAAGTAAGAAATAAAACAGATGGGGCTGGGCGTGGTGGCTCACGCTTGTAATCCCAGCACTTTGGGAGGCTGAGGCGGGTGGATCACTTGAGCTCAGGGGTTTGAGACCAGCCTTGCCAACATGGTGAAACCCCATCTCCACTAAAAATATAAAAATTAGCTGGGCATGGTGGTACATGCCTGTAATCCCAGCTACTTGGGAGGCTGAGGCAGGAGAATCACTTGAACCCGGTAGGCGGAGGTTGCAGTGAGCCAAGATCATGCCACCGCACTTCAGCCTGGACAACAGAGCAGGTTTGTTTGTTTGTTTCTTTTTTTTTTTTTTTTTTAATACTTTACTTATTTATTTATTTATTTTTTGAGATAGAGTTTCGCTCTTTTTGCCCAGGCTGGAGTGCAATGGTGCGATCTCAGCTCACCACAATCTCCGCCTCCCGGGTTCAAGCAATTCTCCTGCCTTAGCCTCTCGAGTAGCTGGGATTACAGGCATGCGCCACCATGCCTGGTTAATTTTTGTATTTTTAGTAGAGACAGGATTTCTCCACGTTGGTCAGGCTGGTCTGGAACTCCTGACCTCAGGTGATCCACCCGCCTCGGCCTCCCAAAGTGCTGGGATTACAGGCGTGAGCCACCGCGCCCGGCCAACAGAGCAAGTTTCTATATCAAAACAATAAAAAAAGCTGTGCATGGTGGCTCACACCTATAATCCCAGCACTTTGAGAGGATGAGGTGGGTGGATCACCTGAGGTCGGGAGTTCGAGACCACCCTGGTCAACATGGTGAAACCCTGTCTCTACTAAAAATACAAAAAATTAGCCAGGCGTGGTGGCAGGCATCTGTAATCCCAGCTACTTGGGAGGCTGAGGCAGGAGACTGCTTGAACCCGGGAGGCAATGGTTGCAGTAAGCCGAGATCATGCCATTGCACTCCAGCCTGGAGTGCAATCAAAAATAAATAAAATCAATGAACAAAAAATAAAACTGAGGGGCTTTCCGGCACTGGAGCCCAGGCAGAACCTGGCTCCATCTAGGCCCTTGACAAGGCCTGGAGCAACCACTCAGTCGTGGCCTGGAAAAGCCACCCCGTCATCTAGACCACAGGAGGCCTCTGGGATGGAAGCACCAGCAGCTCCTCCCTAAGCACTGGCCCAAGAGAAGGGGTGCAGAGAGTGCCTCTTAATTCAGCTGATACAATCTGGCTCAGCTCCCAGAAACCAAGGGCTCTATGAAAGACCGCACTAAGAACTCTGTCAGGTTTGGCATCTAAAGGAGCTGAAAAACCAGAATCTTATTCTCATTCACAATTTGAGAACGGAAAGGGTTTGACTTTAAGGACTGGTTTTGCCTAATAGATCTGGCACTTACTCAAATACTTTTGGAGACAAAGACGTGAGAACACCCAGTTCGTCTGTCTCCAACATTCTGTCCTATCTGGCCCTGCTCTGAGTCTCTGCCCAGAACTCAGTGGAGGGGAGGATGGCAAAGCCACCTCAGCACGAGGCTGAGGCACCTGCAGCCCACAGGGGAAGCCACTGGCCCTGCTACAGATACCGGTGCACCAGTCCATCCCACAGATCTGCAGGAGGCCTCCTATCCCCCAGCCACTCCTAGCTCTCAACCTGCCTGCCCATTGCCCTGACCCAGGCCCACTAGGGTCTTCTCTAGGCTCTCTTGGATGAGGAGATTCTGGGGACCGGTGACCCCAGAACTCATACCCACAGACCCTGTGGCCACCTGAGCCATGGCAGGGAGTGAAGGCAGAAGCAAAACTCTCAGAGGGTCAGGCCCCAGCCCAGTGAGAACAAAGCTGCCTTTGCACCCTCATCTGTAGGCAGTCCCCAGTCCCAAAGGGGTACAAGGCAGGTCTGTAGGGCCAGAAAAGGTAAGCACTCTCCTGCCAAGCTTAACTCAGTTCTAACCCTAAAAACTGCCTGCCACAGCCAGGGTGGGCTCTATGGGGAGGGGACAACTGCCCAAGTGTTGGGTCACTGGCCAAGCATCTGCAGCTGACTTTTGGGCCCTGCTGAGCACATAGCACTTGCATGGCAAGCCCCCAAAACCAAGGAGAAGCAGCTAGCAATGGTAAGGGCTCAGATCAGAACCAACAGCCAGGCAGGTAGTGCCTATCCACTACGCACCTGCCACTCCAGGCTCCTCGAGCTTCTGTGACTCACCTCCTGCACAGCGGGGGCCAGGGGATTCCTAAATTCTGATAAGGAGACCGGCAAGGAGAACTTGGCAAGGACGGACGGCAGGTCATGAGATGGGAACTGATGGGAGAACTGCTCGGCTAGCGGGGAGTACCTGGAGGCAGACGAGCATGCCAGTGAGTGCAGCAGAACCCCCACTGTGTTCTCAGACCCCCCACTGTGTTCTCAACACTGGCCTCAGTGGGCAGCAGAGAAGCAAAGTGTGGCAGGTGGACCAGGACGGTGCAGTGAGGGCAGAACAGTATGATGCCAGGCAGGCCTCCAGGTGGACAGAACCTGGGCACTTCCCCTTGAGCAGCAGCAGGAGCCATGGGCACAGTTCACCCTGCATCTCACCTCTGATCCCTCAAGGTGGATTAGGAGAGCCAGCCTGGAGGAGGGGGCCTGGCATAGGGGGGATACAGGAGAGTCACACAGCACAGAGCCAGACCAGAATTGGGACCTGGGCACGCTGGTGGCCAGGAGTTAGGCTGAAGTGAGAGCCTGGCCTTGGGGCTTCCACAGCCTTTGATGCCTGGTCAACACAGAGAACAGCATCTGGAGGGCCCTGCTGGCCTCACCCCTTCCCACTCAGGGCTCCAGGCTCTGGCAGCCAGCAGCACTCACAGACATACGCTGGCATTGGGAGACAGCATGTAGACGTTGTTCTCACACAGCGGGTAGATGATGATGGCCTTGCCCCAGTACACCAGATGAGCTGCAAGCTGGAAAACCTGCAGGCAGAGGGGAAGCTGCAAGGACCATGCCTGAGGCTGGCCCACTGGGAGCTGTCAGAAGCTCTCAGCATGGGTGGCCACGGCCTACCAACCCGGAGAAGCTGATCCCAGGCTCGTGCAGAACACACATGGTGGCTGTGGCCCGCGACTTCCTCCCTAATGTGGAACAGCACCTTCCCAACCTCTCACTAGGATGTGGGGCACAGCCAGCACACAGCACACAGCACTCTCTGTGAGCAATGGCTTTTTTTTTTTTTTTTTTTTTGAGACAGTCTTGCTCTGTCATCCAGGCTGGAGCGCAGTTGTGCAATCTCAGCTCACTGCAACCTCTACCTCCCAGGTTCAAGCGATTCTCCTGCCTCAGCCTCCCAAGTAGCTGAGATTACAGGCACATGCCACCACGCCCAGCTAATTTTTGTATTTCTAGTAGAGACAGGGTTTCACCATGTTGGCCAGGTTGGTCTCGATTTCCTGATCTCGTGATCCACCCGCCTCAGCCTCCCAAAGTGTGGGATTACAGGCGTGAGACACTGTACCTGGCCACAATGGCCTTTTTATCACTGCTCCCTGTGCTGTTTGGTGCCAGTGTTTTCCCATCCTGTACTGTCTTGACTCCCACTGAAGAATGGTGGTCTCAGGCCACAAGCATGGGAATGTCTGGGGTGCTGGGAACACAGGGTTGGCCCAGCTGGGCAGGGGTCTTAGCTGGATGTCCTGGCAGGGCACAGCCCTCTCATACCCCCTAAAACTCCAGCATGGCCTTGCCCCAATGATGGGTGTGGAGTCACTCAGCATGCCACTCCTACATACCCAAAGGCCCCAGGTCTGCCCCACCTCCCAGCTTTGCTCTTGTGGACCCTTGAACAGCAGGAAACACAAACACACCCAAAACCCCTTCCAGAGGAAACTTCAGGCCTGAGGTCTGAGAGCACAGTACCACAGCACTTCATGAAAAGGTGTGTGCAATCCTAAGCACTTGCACTTCTGCCTCTGCATCACCCCAAGACACCACTCCACCCTCTTGGCCAGTAGGCCTCTGTGTGGGTGAGTCACCCCTGCCTGGACACAGTGCGGCCTGCTGCTAAGGACACTTATACCTCAGCTCAGAAAACAGGGCCTCCAGACTGAGTGCAGTGGCTCATGCCTGTAGTCCTAGCATTTTGGGAGGGCAAGGCAGGCGGATCACCTGAACCTCAGAGTTCGAGACCAGCCTGGGCGATATAGTGAGACCTTCATCTCTACCAAAAATTTTTATTTAATTAGCCTTGCACTGCGGCACATGCCTGTAGTCCCAGCTACTCGGAGGCTGAGACAGGAGGATTGCTTGAACCTGGAAGGTGGGGGTTGCAGTGAGCCGAGATTGTGCGAGTGGTGCCTCCAATGGCACTGCTAACCCCAACATGGCAGGTTTCAGTTCCATCACCACCCTGCTGCCTCACCCCACGTGCCACTGGCATGTGCTCTCTCAAAAAGACACACCCACTTTCCCCCAGCTCTGCTCAGCATAGTGGTCTCCACCTCCTGCCTCTCCCTGCAGCAGCCTCTCCAAGATGCTGTCCATTCTGGAAACTGAAAGTCCAAAATCAGTACTTCAGGGCCAGCATAAGGTGCCAGCAGGACCAGGCTCCCTCTGGAAGCTCCAGAGAGAATTCATCCTGCCTCTTCAACTGCCAGTGTCTCTTGGCTTGTGGCCACATCACTCCACTCTGCCTCTGTGGTCACGTCGCTGCCTCTTTTCTGTCAGAGCTTCCTCTGCCTCCCTCTGATAAGGGCCTTAGTGATTACATTTAGGGCTTAACAGGATGATCTTCCCATCTCAAGATCTTTAACTTAGTAATATCTCCAAAGTGCCACATGAGTTCACATTCATAGATTTTTGGGATTAGGATGTGTATGTCTCTGGGGGCCGTTATTCAGCCAATCACAACGAATGTACAGCACGATCCTAATTTTCATAATACAAAATAAAATGTTTGTATATACACACACACACACACAGATAAAAAACCTGGAGGGATCTAGGTTACCTGTGGGATATGGGACTGTGGGAACTTTTTGTGTCTATAATTTGTGTAGTGTTTGAAGTCTTATAACATTAATTTTATCATGACAAACCCAAAATTTACTTGTAGATTCTCTCTGGATTGATGTAAACATGAATTATTTTATTTTATTTTATTTTATTTTTTGGGACTGGGTCTTGCTCTTTTGCCCAGACTGGAAGTGTGTGCAATCACAACTCACTGCAGCCTCGAACACCAGGGCTCAAGTGATCCTCCCACCTCAGCCTCCTGAGTAGCTGGGACCACAGGCACACACCACCATGCCCAGCTAATTATTTAATTTTCTGTAAAGACAGGGTCTTCCTATGTTGTCCAGGCTGGTCGTGACCTCCTGGGTTTAGGCAGTCCTCCTGCCTCATCCTCCCAAAGTGCTGGGATTATAGGCATGAGCCACTGCACCCAGCCACATAAGGGACTTTAAACTACCTGGTGACATTCACACCTGAGGCAGATGCTCCCCAGGGGACTATCTCAAGGAAACAGAGTGACCCATCAGGGATGGGCCCCAGGTGCTTGTGCACTGCCACACCAGCAGCAAAGCTCTGCTGACCTGCAGCAGGGACAGCAGGGAAGGGTTACAGACACAGGAAAACAATGACAGCCTTCCCTCTCCCCAGTCAAGGCCACGGCAGGGAACTGAAGGGGACCTCAAAGGGAGACCAAAGCTTTGTCCAAGGAGACTGACAGCAAGGATGAGAGGCACAGTGTCCAGCACAAACTCCTGCCAGACAGCCTCAGGAAAGCCAGGCCCAGCTCCTTTCAAAAGCTCAACACAGGACCTGTGAACAGCCACACGCATTTACCATGTGGCTGGTGCTCATCAGGACACGGGGGTACACTGACTCCCTCACTCTGCAGGGTTGTATGGAGCAGTGACTTCTTTTACAATTCTGTGTCTCCTGGATGCTATGAAGGTGGGCAGGACATGGTCTTTACTGGGTCCTGTCCAGCCCACGAAGTCGAAAGGCACAGCTGGGCATGGTGCCTCATGCCTATTAATCCCAGCACTTTAGGAGGCCAAGGTGTTACGATCACTTGAGCCCAGGAGCTTGATGTCAGCCAGGGCAACCTAGGGAGACCCCATCTCTACCAAAAAAAAAAAAAAAAAGCCAGGGGCACACCTGTAGTCTCAGCTACTTGGGAGGATGCTTGAGCCTGGGTGAACCATGATGGCACCACTGCATGCCAGCCTGGGAGACAGAGCAAGAACCTGTCTCAGAAAAGAAGAAAGAACTACAAGGGCACAATCTGGTAAAAGGTCTCACAGAGGATGGATAAAGGCTCCCTGAGATACAGAGGCGGGAGAGACTTACTCTCAAAGACAGAATCCAAAAAGGCTGCTTTTGGGGAAAAGTGGCCTGAGAGTCAGGCCTTGCTGGACAAGTTCACCTAACGTGCTAAGAAGCAAAGGCCTGTTTCACAGGCCAAAACAGCATGGAAGCTCAGCCAGAGGGACCCAGGCGGGCCCACCTCACGCCGGGGTTCCTTGGCAGCCTCTGCTGCCCCCTGGTGGCCATGCCGTGCACACCGCCACCAGACGAGGGCGCCACCCACAGGCACCACCTGCTCCGCCCTCAGGCAACACTTCAATGGTCCCGTAGCTCTGAGCCACTCCACATGACTAGCAGCCACAGATGACCCCATGGCCTGTTGGCCACCCCATCAGCAGCCCCTGCTTCTGATTTCTCCCTGTGCTTTTTTTTTTTTTTTTTTTGGAAACACAGTCACCCAGGCTGGAGTGCAGTGGCACGATCTCAGCTCACTGCAACCTCTGCCTCCCAGGCCCAAGTGATCCTCCTACCTCATACCCCCAAGTAGCTGGGACTACAGGTGCATGCCACCATGCCAAGCTATTTTTCTTTCTTTTTTTCTGTACTTTCTGTAGAGATGGGGTATTGCCATGTTGCTGAGGCCAGTCTCAAAGTCCTTGGCTCAAGCGCTCCGCCTGCCTCAGCCTCCAGAAGGGCTGGGATGACAGGCATAAGCCACCGTGCCCAGCCTTCCCTGTGCTTTTCCTCCCACGCTTCACCCACACTCCAACCAGATCTGCAGACACGGCTGAGGGGCCCTCCATCTAATCAGAAAGGGCAGCCCTTTGCATGGACAGGCCCATAAGCATGTGGCTCAGCAAAGAAGTGGCATCTTGTACAGAGTGCACAGGCCAACACATGTGCACACAGAGCGGGTAAGGCCACCAGGTTAGGTCTTTGTTCTGCATATGGGAGGGCCCTGCATCCAAGCTTCCTGCCCTCAGTTCCCATATGCTTGTTAATCACCACTGTGAGGCCCCCAGGACCCTGCCCACTCCTGCCCTGCCCACCCACTAGCTCTGGTATCTCGACCTCCAATATTGGGAGCACCCCAGTCCTTTCTCTCACAGACTTGTCTTACCTCTCTGAGACAGAAGAACAAGTCAGTCCCATGGCTCATTCACAGAGCCAGCCCTGAACCCAGGTCTGACTCAGATGCCAAAACCTCCAGCCATCCCACGGACTGGCCCCACCCCATGGTGGGCTATGCCACAGCTCTCAGCTGGACAGAGCCCCTATGGATGTAGTGTGGCAGATGGCCTGCCTTTCCTGATGCCCCAGCACCTGCCACATGCCACCCATCCAGGCCCCCAGAGCTATACCTGCAGCAAGGCCAGGTCCGCATCCTGAGCTAGCTGCTGCAGGTTCTTCACAGCAGATGTGGTCTTGATCACCCGCACTAGGGCAGGGGAGCAGTCGATAGGAAGTTCACCCAGCAAGGACTTCTCATCACTGAGCAGCAGCAGGGCGTGGTAGGGGCTGCAAAACAATCACCTGTTACGGAACACACGAAGTACAGGAACCTGCACCACATATGCACCAGGTATGCACCAGGTATGCACCAGGGACACAACCGTGCAGCTGGAGCCTCCCAGCCCTCAACTGCGGAGAGAAGGGCCAAGAGTGGGATCTGAGAAAAGGTCAGTGGTCTGTTTAGAGGCCTTCACAAAATCTGCCAAGGATTGGCTCATGTCTGTAATCCCGGCACTTTGGGGAGGCCAAGGCAGGCAGTCACGTGAGGTCAGGAGTTTGAGACCAACCTGGCCAACATGGTGAAACCCCATCTCTACTAAAAATACAAAAATTATCCGGGTGTGGTTGCACCCACCTGGGGTCCCAGCTACTCAGGAGGCTGAGGCAGGAGAATCGCTTGAGCCTGGGAGGCGGAGGTTGCAGTGAGCCGAGATTGCGCCATTGCACTCCAGCCTGGCGAGAGCGAGACTCTGTCTCAAAAACAACAAAAACAAAAACCTAAAAGGATTATGTCACCCTCAGAAAAAAACACATGACAAAAGTGGGGAAGGTTTGAAGACTGGACTCCATATCCCACCGCAGAGACACCCAGCAAATATTTGTTGATTGAAGAAATGAATGAATTTTTCCTAAGGAAATTGTCCCAAATATGAGAAAAGCAAAATCCCCTTCACAGACTAAGAACAGAAGTATGTTAAAATATGCTTAGCTAAGACTGAAAGGAAAGAGCACGAACTGGGGAGGGTGGAACTAGGCAGCGCTTTGCTTTCTGTCATTTCCAAATTTCAGCAATGTACCCAGCCGATATATTTTTTTAATTAAAAAATGTTCAAGGGGCCGGGTGCGGTGGCTCAAGCCTGTAATCCCAGCACTTTGGGAGGCCGAGACGGGTGGATCATGAGGTGAGGAGCTCTAGACCATCCTGGCTAACACGGTGAAACCCCCTCTCTACTAAAAAATACAAAAAACTAGCCGGGCGAGGTGGCGGGCGCCTGTAGTCCCAGCTACTTGGGAGGCTGAGGCAGGAGAATGGCGTGAACCCGGGAGGCGGAGCTTGCAGTGAGCTGAGATCCGGCCACTGCACTCCAGCCTGGGCGACAGAGCGAGACTCCGTCTCAAAAAAAAAAAAAAAAAAATGTTCAAGGAACTGGGGGACTTGGGAACGGGTGGTGCCAGAAGACTGGGCTCAGTTCTTTCCTTGCAGAAAATCAATTAAATTGCCAGGGCACAGTGGCTCACGCCTGTAATCTCAGCACTCTGGCAGGCCGAGGTGGGTGGATCATGAGGTCAGGAGTTCAAGACCAGCCTGGCCAACATGGTGAAACCCCATCTCTACCAAAAATACAAAAATTAGCCAGGTGTGGTGGTGTGTACCCATAATCCCAGCTACTAAGGAGGCTGAGGCAGGAGAATCGCTTGAACCTGGGAGACAGAGGCTGCAGTGAATGGAGATTGCGCCACTGCACTCAAACCCAGAACAAGACTCCGTCTCAAAAAAAATAAAAATAAAAAATAAAAAAACAAAGTCAATTAAATTAAGAAAGTATAGTTTGGGAGGCCAAGATGGGCGTATCACCTGCGGTCAGGAGTTCGAGACCAGCCTGGCCAACATGGTGAAACCCTGTCTCTACTAAAAATACCAAAAAAATTAGCCGGGCATGGCAGTGGGCACCTGTAATCCCAGCTACTTGGGAGGCTGAGGCAGGAGAATCGCTTGAACCCAGGAGGTAGAGGTAGTGGTGAGCCGAGATCGCGCCACTACACTCCAGCCTGGGCGATAAGAGCAAAACTCTGTCTTTCTCTCTCTCACACATACACAAAGAAAAAGAAAGTAACTGAGATCCCACGAGTGCTGACTGAAATGCAAAAGACTGGGGTGGGGGCAACACCATCAAGCTGAAGTCCCTTCAGCCCTCCAGCCTCCCCCAGGACACTCAGCCCCACATCCAGGCTGCCCTGCCCAGGCCTAAGGTGGTGCCAGGAGGGCCCAGGGGAAACCTGGGATTGGTCATTTCTGGACACAACTGGATACAAAACTATGTGTTTTAACATCTATAAACAGCAAAGCCCCACCTGCCAGCTTCCGCAGAGGGACGAAGAAAAGAGAATTTTTGGAACAAAGTTAACTGGTAAAATCTCAGGCAGAAGCTAAAGGAAAGGGCCCTGGCAGGGAGTGAGCACGTGGGGCTGGGCACTCACCGGATGGCTTTCAGGCTCCGTTCGATGGCCTCTGGGGGGATCAGGCTAGAGGCCGCATAGTGGATCTTGTGGGGCAGGCAGAAGCTCACCTCCAGCCAGCTGTTGATGTGAAGCCGAACCACACCCGACGTGCACAGGCTGCGGAGAGTGGGCGCTGTTACCCCTTCACACAAACTTTCCAACCACACACACAGATCAGAAAACACCCTGCTCAATGGTGCTGATTCCCCTGCTGTTGAGAGGAAACTGCAGGTGGAGACCTGGGCAGGAGCGCATCTCTTAAGATCACATTTTGTGAGGCCGGGCGCGGTGGCTCAAGCCTGTAATCCCAGCACTTTGGGAGGCCGAGGTGGGTGGATCATGAGGTCAGCAGTTCGAGACCAGCCTGGCCAACATGGTGAAATCCTGTCTCTACTAAAAATACAAAAATTAGCCAGGCGTGGTGGCACACACCTGTAGTCCCAGCTACCTGGGAGGCTGAGGCAGGAGAATCGCTTGAACCCAGGAGGCAGAGGTTGCAGTGAGCTGAGATCATGCCACTGCACTCCAACCTGAGCAACAAGGCAAGACTGTCTCAAAAAAAAAAAAAAAAAAGAAGAAGAAGAAAGAAGAAATATATTTCTGGCTAGTCCTGGATTCTGTAGTCCAACCAGACTGCCAGGGCTTGAGAGAAGCTGTAGCCCTGTCCTGGAGACTCAGTGCACTACAGGCACTCTAACTCAGGCCCCTGCCCGTCCAGACCCCTGACAGACACCCAACACCCAGAGCAAAACCTCCCTGTGAATGGGCCTGCCCTGCACACCTTACGAAGACCCAGTCACAGGTGCACGTCCAGGTAGAGCAGTGGCTGTCTCAGAGGGAGAGGAGGGCAGGGAAGGAGTGCCAAGTCCCCCCAGAGTGTTCCAGTGGTGAGAAGCACACAGTGCCCACCTCCCTGCACTCTGCAGATGCCCACAGCACCCCAGTTGCAGTGCATGTGGATACCAAGTGATCACCACAAGCCAACCGTCCTAGTCAGCCCCAACACTTCATTACCACGGAAACCCTCTCACTCCACATTCTATCAGTAACGGCAACTTGGTTCTTTCAGGTCCCAAAGCTTGCTCAGGCCAAACATAGCAACACCATCCCAGATTCCTTATTTCTTTCACAATCCACTTTAAACCATCAGCAAATCCTGTCTGCTCCACCTGCAGGGATGTCCAAAATTCAGGCCTTTTCAGCACCACCAGGCCCAAGACACCCAGAGCACTGGCCCCTCTGCCTACCCCTCCCCACACTCCCACCTGGACAGTCCCAGCCATGGGCCTGCAACACCCACATTCCTGTGACCTCACCTCCTGTGCCCAGTCACTCAGGTTCAGCTGTGCTCAGGGCCCTGGCATTTGCCCTTGCCCACGAACTCTCTGCAGACACCCCAAGGCTCATTTACTCCATCGGTCTCCACTCAAGTGTCACATTCTCACTGAAGCCATCCCTGACTCCAAGCCCACTGGCACTCCAACCCCTGACTTGCTGCCTGATGCTGTCTCCCCAACCAGAACTCACTCCTCAGGAGAGGGGCTTGTGGGTTTCATTCTCTGCTCTCTACACATTGTAAAATGTGTCAGGCACGCAGGCACAGAGCTGCATTTCCTGAATGAAGCCAAGGAACACACCGCCCTCCCTGTGTGCACTGTCTTTCCTAGGAAGCCCTGCCCCAAGAACGGGCTCCACACTGGGGATGCAGCCCACGTCATCCCTTGGGGGAACCACACAAAACAAGGAAGGAGTCGTTTTCACCAGGAGCTTCTAAAACTCCCTGATGGAGAAACCAAGGCCCCCACCCTGCTCCACCGCTCACCACAAAGCTCCCTTGCCTTAAATAAGAGCCAACAGCACTTGTTCTATGACACAGAGGACATGCAACTGCTCGAGCAAAGCTGTCTGCAGCTGGCCTTCACCGCATCCCTGGGGGCTCCAGGCACCAGGGGTGGGATCTCCACCCACTCTTGTCAAGGCCTGGCCACTCGAAGTAGCCGGCACCTTCCTCGTGTCCTGCACAGGGAACACAGCATGTAAAGCCTCACAGTGACACCAGTTCTAAAATAGAAGCAAAATACATACAAGTTCTTCTCCAAACTGCCCATTTCTACAGCACCTCCCCCCATCATGTTTCCTCTGTTCACTGCCCCACCACCCAGGAGAGCAGCCAACTGGTGCTTTTCCCATCACCCCCTGACCCTATTCCGCTATTCTCAGCTCCCAGTTGGCAGGACAGGCCAACACACTCACATCCGGCTAAGTCCGGGAGGCCTGGCCAGACTTCTGGCCGCCCCAGGCCAGAAGGTACAAACGGCCCCTCCAACGTCTCTCAGCACACGTCAATATGGGTGCTGAGAGAACACCACGGCCCCAGGGTCCCAGAGGAGGGCACCAGTCTCAGCTTCTTCCAGAACTGCATGCTAACCAAGTATGTCAGAGCAGAGCGAGGCTCCCAGAACCTTACCTCTCTTTGTTCAGGGTCTTTGCAGGGTGAAAAAATATCAAACCCTGAGAAATGTCCCAGCCTCTAAGGAATTAAAGATCATACCAGGAGAGATTTGTCCAGGGGATTCAGGTTAGTTACTCAACTTGAGTGAGCAATAGTTAGGATCTTGGCATCCGTACGCAACAGGGAAGAAAGCACAAGTGAGAGGTGGCCCCATGCACTGTGCTGTTACCATCTGGGTCAGCAAGAAGGGCCACTGGAAATAAACAGCCTATTTTTTTTTTCTTTTTTCTGAGACAGGGTCTCACTGTTGCTCAGGCTGGAGTGCAGTGGTGCCATCTCCGCTCACTGTAGCCTCGATCTTCTGGGCTCAAGACAAACTCCCAGGTAGCTGGGACTACAGACATGTACCACTACACCCGGGTATTTTTTTTTTTAAGGGACAGGGTCTCACTATGTTGCCCAGGCTAGTCTCAAACTCCTGGGCTAAAGCGATCCTCCCACCTTGGCTTTTCAAAGTGCTGAGATTACAGGCATGAGCCACCACACCCACCCAAGACCTTTCTGTTTCTGTACTATTTAGGATGTAGCTCAAAGTGGATGTTGGGACACCACAGAATCAGAATACTGAGGCTCCTATCGTTTCAAAGGTAGCTGTCCTTGCTCCGCCTAGGAGCACAGTGAGGCCTTATGACAAGTGCTGTGGCTCCCAGCACCAGCTTAGGTACTTGGAGTGCAGCAGGGAAGGAAACAACTTGGCTGCTCTGCACGTTGGGGGCTTCATTTGGTGGCATCAAGACAGACACATAGGCCGGGCGCGGAGGCTCACGCCTGTAATCCCAGCACTTTGGGAGGCCAAGGCGGGCGGATCACGAGGTCAGGAGATCAAGACCATCCTGGCTAACACGGTGAAACCCCATCTCTACTAAAAATACAAAAAAATTAGCCAGGCGTGGTGGCGGGCGCCTGTAGTCCCAGCTACTCAGGAGGCTGAGGCAGAATAGCGTAAACCCGGGAGGCGGAGCTTGCAGTAGGCCGAGATGGCGCCACTGCACTCCAGCCTGGGTGACAGAGTGAGACTCCACCTCAAAAAAAAAAAAAAAAAAAACATAATTGGCTGGGTGCAGCGGCTCACGCCTGTAATCCCAAAACCTGGGAGGCCAGGTGGGCCGATCACTTGAGGTCAGGAGTTCAAGACCAGCCTGGCCAATATGGTGAAACCCCGTCTCTACTAAAAATACAAAAATTAGGCCAGGCGCGGTGGCTCACACCTGTAATCCCAGCACTTTGGGAGCCTGAGGCGGGCGGATCACCTGAGGTCAGGAGTTCCAGACCAGACTGACCAACAGGGAGAAACCCCGTCTCTACTAAAAGTACAAAATTAGCTGGGCGTGGTGGCACATGCCTGTAATCCCAGCTACTCGGGAGGCTGAGACAGAAGAATCACTTGAACCTGGGAGGCAGAAGTAGAGGTGGAGGTTGCAGTGAGCTGAGATCGTGCCATTGCACTCCAGCCTGGGCAACGAGAGTGCAACTCCATCTAAAAAAAAAAAGAATTAGCTGGGTATAGTGGCAGGCACCTGTAACCCCAGCTACTTAGGAGGCTGAGGCAGGAGAATCACTTTAACCAGGGAGGCGGAGGTTGCAGTGAGCTGAGATCACACCACTGCACTCTAGCCTGGGTGACAGAGCAAGACCGTGTCTCAAAAAAAAATTGAAATTAAAATTTTTTAAAAAGACACATTGGCTATGTGTGGTGGCTCACTGAGCCTGTAATCCCAGCACTTTGCGAGGCCGAGACAGGTGGATCATCTGAGGTCGGGAGTTCGAGACCAGCGTGACCAACATGGAAAAACCCCATCTCTACTAAAAATACAAAATTAGCTGGGTGCAGTGGTGCATTCCCGTAATCCCAGCTACTCAGGAGGCTGAGGCAAGAAAACCACTCAAACCCGGGAGGCAGAGGTTGCAGTGAGCCGAGATCGTGCCATTGCACTCTAGCCTGGGCACAAGAGTGAAACTCCATCTCAAAAAAAAAAAAAAAATTATCCGGGTGTGGTGGCAGGCACCTGTAATCCCAGCTACTTGGGAGGCTGAGGCAGGAGAATCACTTGAACCCAGGAGGCAGAGGTTCCAGTGAGCCAAGATTGCACCATTGCACTCAAGCCTGGGTGACAGAGCGAGACCCTGTCTCAAAAAAAATTGAAATTAAAGTTTTTTGAAAAAGACACATAATTGTAATCAAATTGTATGGAGCATTAGAAACTGGAGAGAGTTATAGGAAAAGGAATAGGGGCTTGGAACACACCTCATGGAAAGCCAGGAACAAGTGCCAGCTACAGGCATGGAGAAATGAGGGCAAGAGGGAGAACACATCAAGGTTCTTCTAGTGACTTCCCAGCTTGGTCACCTCTGCTGCCCTCATCATGCCAGCTGTCCTTGGAGCTGCAGTCATGCGGTCTGTTTTGTACACTGGCGTGGGGCCCTCACCTTTGGCAGAGACATGCCATGTTGGTTCCTCTAATTTCCACGTGGACTTTACTCCATTTTCCCAGGCATCAGCTCACCCACCTGCTGCTTTCTCCCTCAGAGCACTCTGCACTGAGACTGGTGCTTCTTTATGAACTAACCCAGCTCCCTAGAGCGGTGACAAGTGCTGCCACCAGGA